TCCGAGACACGGTGAATGACGGTAAATAAGCGTACGTGAGTCCAGTTTCTATGGCTTATTTGTTGCTCACCGTAGCCGACAGCGCGACACTATCGAGAGCTGAGCATGTGCGCGAACTTCACATTCAGGTTCATTCAGACGACGGGATATATATGTCAATATCTCTGAATCGTGTCCCAGTCACGGGATAAATAGTTCTGCATGTTAATGAGATTTTGTCACGAATAGGTCTCGTCGTTATCGCGACTAACGGAATAGATCGCGATTACCGAGGTGATCGACCGCGGTCTTGGCTGATGTGTAACTAAAATATCACAGTCCAGCCAACCCTTTCATAACACGTGCCAAATTTTAATGGGCACATTTGGCGCCCAAAGTAGCTCTTTCAATAAAATCAGCGTAAGTATAGAGTCGACTTTCCGGATCGCGGTAGAAATAACCGCGAGGAAGAGATATCTACTTTTGTATCTGCACTCAACGTTTTGACCATTTTATCGTGAGCGTCGCTTACTACTTGTTACATAAGTTATAAACACTTTTCTATCTTCGAACTTTACGGGTGATGTTACAACTCAGAATATCGCACAAGAGACACGGAGCCAGCGTAATCGCTTCGTTACATGCTCTCAAAATTTAGAAGGGCACAAGTCTGAAGCGACGACGCGTTCTCTTATGGATTAAGTAATTTGGAACAACTTCTCATAATTACGTAACTCGTTGGTGCAAATTGAGGCGTAACTTCGCATACTTAATTGTAACTCTAATCTAAGTTGCTGTCGCGCAATTTCGAGTTATGGACGAGAAAATGGTTTGTAAATTAGCACATATAAATTTCGTTATGCGCACAGCGCGATACCAATTACTCCTACGACGGTTCTAATTTCACTTGGCAAATTGCGACCCAAATTTTACACAAGCTCAACAACTGCGATACATCATCCTCAAATAATGACAATAAGCACGAACGCTCCCGTATCTAATATCATAAAAGTATAAAACAAACACACACACGTCTGCTACATATTAATATCATAATAAGAGAAAGATATTTAGTATCGCAATATAACGAACGCTACAATATGCAACAATAATAGTCGGATGAAGATATCAACTAGTGTTACGGAAAGTGTTGTGAAATTGATGTACAGAATTGTCGTGAGCGTGTTTAATCGTCGATAATTAGTGCAAAACGTGCATCGGTCTTTTTATTGTGGAATCTCGACGAGCTGGAATTCAAATCGCGCTAGAAAATCACGGTAACCCGAGTTTGCCCGGTGAGGCGTCCGCGTTTTAGCACAGTACGACGTACGATTGGTCGTGTCGCACGCGATCACGCGAGAGTAGCCAATTGGAACGGGTACGAGACAGAGGCCGCGGCACTCTGTCATTATTCACGTCACATTAAGCATTTATTATGTTTAACGTTACATTTACCTCGGGGGTTCGTTCGCTTCCCGAGCTGGACGTAACACGTGAATGCGTCACTCGATTACATCGGCTACCAATGCCGATCGTCGCATTTAAATAACAGTTCTATCGCGATGAACTTCGAGCATGTGCCGTTAACCCCTTCTCGACCAGACAATCTCCTTTTGTTAACGGTTTTTTTTTAATATTTTTACTTAGCGCGTATTGTTAGACAGTCTACACACATACACACATATGTTTATGTTATAATATCTATTTAGTTTATTTAATAGCAAAATTGAAACGAGAGAATAGGATTGGAGAGATAAAGAGTTGATCGCAAACGTTTTGATTAATACGACAATATCCGCATATATTGGATAATTCCAGTTAGCACTTTATACATAACACTATATATATGAAACTGTTATGTAAATTATCACTTGTGGTACTCGTATAATAATTAATAAGAATTTTGATTATTCTTTCGATGACTTACTTGCGTGACACATTATGCAATGACACCGACTGATTTATCCAATCATGCACTGCGGAATCGATTCTCTAAAAGTTTGAAAAGAAAGAAATCGCAATCGTATTGAGATTCACGGGTTGTGATCCAATTTGACTTTGCGACGAATAAAGGCGTCGCGCAACGAGAATCAGGACAATTGTCTTTTTTACCTTATAGCTATCGTGTTGGGTATTCCGTGAGATGATTATTCTACGAAACGCGGAAGTAGATCTCGTGCGGGAAGAGTAACGCGAGAGCGTAGACATATGTTGCTTGGGATTTAAATTGCGAGTGAGCGCTAATTTTTCAAGCTAATTCGCGAGCAAATACAATGGAAAAATATTTGAATAATATTAATAATATAATATTATATAACGTAACTAATATCATTCCAAAAATACTCATTGCCTTCTGTTTCGAAAAAGATTCCGCAGTAATAAAAAGTTGATTTGTACGTACATCAAAAACACAGTTCCTATTAAAGACGAAATGATAAATCTGAACAAGAACTATATGCATACTCGGACATACATGTAACTTTTTAGTAATGCAAGAAATTCAGTTTACATAAGTACAGTGAAAACTGACAGTTCACAACAAATTTACGCAACTGTGCTCGCTCGGCACATGATATATTTAAGTACATATTAAAAATATCTGAAAATAGAGAGAAGCTGAGGCATAAATTAAAAACGCTTTTAAAGCTTTTAAAGCTTTAAAATTGCAACAAAAAATTCCGTGAAAATGTATATATATCTTTTAGCAGTACGTACGTTTAGTACATACATTAAACAAATTTTCGTCCCGATATGCTCTTTCTTTTCCGTTTCGATAGATTCCATCAAGATATGTATGGAATTAAGATGTATTAACAAACTTTCATATCTGTCGTATGAAAGTGCACGTACTAGGATGACAGATGACATGTTTTCGCGCCAATGAAACATTTGAAGTGCGCGCTAAGAAAATATCGGAACAGTAGCTAACTTCACTTTGTTCGAAGAACTCGCGTTAGAGAAAACCTCTCAAAACATTGCATATTTTCTGTCTCTCGTATTATAAATACATACTCTACAAGTTGCTCTGTGTTGCTCGTGACATCATAAACAAATAACAAACCATGAATGATAGACTGTACTCTCAAGTAATACGCGAGATTATATGTCGCGTGTCATCAAACAATATACTGATGACGCTATTTTAACACTTCATACCGACCTGTTCCGAAATCTCATCGCGCGCTAGGACCAGCTGACACGAATAACGCCTTACCTTGGTGTCCCGGGACGTGTGGTAGTAGTAAACACAGGCGAACATCCATGCGCATGACAGGAGCAACGCGATCTTGACATTTCGCCGCATGACTGCCGCTGCTGCACCTGTTCTCGCTACTTCCTCGTGACACACGTATTTCGGCGACGGTCCGGCGGACCTTCGACGGTACGTCTCTCCACCGCAAATCCTTGTCCTTCTATCTCACGAAAACGGAGCACGCACACCCGCGAGCGGAAACGCGGCGCAGTGCCACCAATTACTATCAACACGCACGTACCGGCAGCCAAGGCCATACTGACGCGGCCGGTTGAGTGCGGCGTCTATAAGCTCGCCTGGTATGCCCGCCGACGCGCTACCTACTGGCGACACACGGAAGCCGGCTACACCCTGAAGGGCGCCACATTTCAGACGAGCAAAGATGCGAAGAATTGGAAAAAAGCCTCTGCAAAATTTCACTGTTTTCCTTCAACAAAAATCTTATATCTCTATAAATACAAGATATATAACTATATGTTGTTATATAATTGCGCTTGTAATTGTGAGTAGAAAGAAATATGATTTGCTAATAATAATATGTAATACGTTGTATATAATTAAAGAATAATTTATTACACATACACATAATTAATTACTGAACTTATTCATATAAATCCAACAAATTGTTGACAACAAAGAAGTACACTCCGTTTAACAAGTGCATGACAGATAAAACTTTTTCTTTGATACTGTTGCACGTAATATTTTTAACCAAATATATAACATGATCTTTCCTAAAGGCGCTTTATTAATAACGTTTCAATTATTATAATTATAGCTTTTGTACGATATACGTTTTTGGATATTAAATATATTTTCGTTATTTTCATTTTTTGTTAATATTCAAGTTGTAATTAAATGTTGGATACTTTCTTCTTTTAAATAATACTTACATAGAATATCTTGTCAGGTCTTTTAATATTTCTACATTATTAAAAAGTTGAAATATGCATTTACATTGTAACAATATTTTGATTTGAAAACGATATCGTCTACATAACTTATTCCACGTTACCTTATTATTGATCGAGAAATAAACTGAATGTTTTTTATTTCATCCTATTTACAAAATTTATTTTTGAAGTAATTGAATTCACTCATCAACTGATATACCTTGCTTGTCCTCGATAACGGCTTCGTTGTTCCAGATATTCACTGGCGCAGAGGTAAACCAATCCAAAACAACGTGATTAATTAATTTAAAAATAACGAAAAATGGAGAAAGCAATTTGCAAATGGAGTGTATATCTATACTAGTGTAATATTGGTATTATCGAAACGCATATATGTACATAGTAGTTAATTAAAATGTACTCAATTATTCGACCGTTATACGAAACTGATAGATCGTTATAGGAAGATATTAGACAATGATGAAGAGTTTATATATCTCACAAAATTTATATTATCATAAATAATATATCTTTAAGAACAAAATACAATTGTAATAAAAATAACATAACTGTAAGGAATACTGAAATATTTAACACGAACGATTTATGCAAGCAACACAAGTGTTAAAGTTTTAATAAAAAAGATTAATCTGAGAGAGAAATTTTCATTTAAATGAAATTAATTATAGACGACACATGATCGTTCGCCGGCATTATAATTTCATTTGCGTTTTTACGTTTTTAAGTTATCTTGACTAGTACTTATCATGTATAGAGTCTGTAAACCGATACTGGGTGGATTTCGATAAATCCACAAAATATACGCCCACCCGGAGACAAGCAGCTGCGACGCCGATGCGCGGATCAGTCTGTCACGATCTGTCTTTTTGGCAGGAATTTCTCGGGAGTTCAACACGGTATGTCGGGATAATATTTAGTTTACTGAGTTTCAAACTTCGCCAATGATATGGCTTCTACATCAAGATGGTTGCTGTTATTATACTTCGGTTTCTGCACGGCATGGATGGACGAGAGGTATGCTTCTTGATAAGAGTTGGTAAATCGTGTGCCCAATCTTGTACTCTATTATTTGCATTTCCGTTAAGTATGCCTTGAACCGTCAAGCAAATCAATAGTTAATATTATTATGTGTATTTGTATACCGTGTTTATGCAATTTTAATAAAAAATAGCACCTTTTCAATACGTATGCAAAATATAAAATACGAAGATCTTGAAATAAAGTATAACCAAATAGAATTGCTCTTTATTTTTGACTTCTTTTCTATTTGCGTAAACTTCTTTTTCGATTAAACAAATACATAAATAATATATAATAACACACGAAACTCAGGCCAGTTCTGGAGTCTCGAGACGGACATCTCATAATCTCCAGCGCGAAAGACAGAAACATCACTCTGAAGATAATAGGGGGCGGTTACGTGAATGTCAATGAAATTAATCTGCTTCACGTCGCATTGGCGGTAATGAACATACGACTATATATACAGCGTGACAATCGAGGTGCAATTGGTTAACGCATGAATTTCGATCCCTTCTAGGCGCAAAATGCAACGCGGGTCATCGACAGGTGGCGGATGGGATACTTGGCTGAGATGGAGAACTCTCTTCAGCAACTATCAACTATAGTGACAGGCTCTACAGGTCTACAGAAGAGAGTCGCTCTACTCGAGCGAGGTATCGACACGAACGTTACGAATCGCGTGGGAAACAGAACACATATAATAGTAAGAACACGCGAATACACAATATTGAATCAACAGCGTGCGACAGCATATTTCTCTATAACATATATCTTTGCGATAGATTAGAGTGTGTCAACAAAAAATTTATATTACATGTAAGATAAAATAAAAAAGGAAATAGTAGATAAAATTAAAGAGTAAACATAGACAATTATACAAACAGCTCTCATTACTTACATGCTAAAAATTACTCATTTTGTAAATTTAAATATTTAGCTCGTAAAAAAATGATATAAATCCCGTTACGTCACGACTATTGACTGTAATAATATTTAATTTTCAGCCGAATATAATCACCAGAGCTAATTTCCGTCGTATCAGCATACGAGTATGTATTATTTGCAGATTTATTCATCATGAGCGATATGTAAGAATAATATTCCACACGGTTGTAATAACAAACGTAAATATATTTTTTTAAGCTCAAAGCGTTGGAAGACTCATTGAGAGCGATGCAAACATTGCTCCGAGAGAACGAGTGCCAGAGTAATCCGTGTCAAAACGGCGGTACGTGCGAGGACCTCTATGACGCCTATCAATGTCATTGTTCGTCAAATTGGGAGGTATGTATGACAGGCTTGTGCAAAAAAAAGCTCTAGTATTTTGGGAAAAAGAGAATAATTTATGGCGATTTTTCAGGGCCCGAATTGTATGACGGATGTTAACGAATGCGCGAGATTTCTTGGCACGGATCTCGGATGTCAAAATGGGGCAACGTGCCGTAATCTACCCGGATCTTATCGGTATGCGATAATTAACAATAGTTTTTCTACTACATTGAGCAACATTAAGAAAGTGTATTATGCTTTTGTTTATCTGCAGATATTTTATAAAACACAAAGTCTATTTTCTTTTCAAAAAGAACTTGACGAAAAGTTTCTATTTTTTTTAATTGTAGCTTATGCTGCCATTTTAAGCAAATATACAAATAAGTCGTAGCTTACGAGAAAAACAAAAAACAATCGTTGATATTTATGAGTTATCATATGATATATGCACATAATTGCAGATCTATTCATAAGTTTTTACGAGTCTTACGAAAACAAGTTAATGATTTTGTTTAGAATTGCAATATTAGTTTATCGAAATAAATTCTTTATATGAGTACGGAGTACTCCTACGGAGTTTGACATCTGACATTCGTGATTTAGCGGATATACAATTGCTGAGATATATTGTACGAAATACGCTTATACATAATATCGGTTCTACGTCAGATGCGATTGCTTACCGGGATGGTTTGGTCTTCACTGCACGCAGAAAACATCGATTTGCAATACGGAGAACTCCGAGGCGCTTTGTGGCGAGCACGGCGTCTGTGTCACGAAAAGCAGTTCTCTGCTTGGATACACGTGTATTTGCGACCAAGTATGATTTCCTATCTCCCATTCTAAATACCGTTTCTGGAAAATCGTAAAGTTGTCGACGAAATTTGTGTTCGTAAACCAGTCCTCAGCGCTGGAATACCGATCTTTATATTTATCGTCCTTAGGGGTGGGAGAGCGAGGGTACAAACCCGGCTTGCACCAAGGATGTAGATGAATGTGCAGCAGACCATCCACCCTGCTCCGTAAATCCACCGGTACCATGTCGCAACACGCGTGGCTCATTCACTTGCGGCGCCTGTCCGCATGGTTATAGCGGAAATGGCTATTATTGCACCGACATTGACGAGTGTCTGATTAACAACGGCGGCTGCAGTACCTCACCTTATGTGAACTGCATGAACACGATGGTAAATACATAGGCGCACGTATATGGAAGCCATGTTACATTGTATGTAATATGCCGTAAAACTAGTTGCTTTGTTCGAGACGTAAAACTATTTGCTTGTTTTTCTCGAGAAGCGTAGCTGGCAATGTGTATATGTCACCACTTATCCACCGTAAAATATTTAATCAAAATCAATAAGACAGCTCTATAAAAATGGCATAGATTGTACGACTTACAGCTATATTAATAAGCGTTTTAGTCTATTTATTTTAACATATCATGATATTAACGTATTATGATTACGTTTGTAGGGTTCTAGAGTATGTGGACCTTGTCCTACGGGATACCGAGGAGACGGTGTCAGTTGCATTTTTGTCGGCGGTTGCTCCATCAACAATGGTGGATGCCATCCATTAGCGATCTGTACCGAAAACCCTTCACTTACGAGCTCTTACGTTCTGTGTCGTTGCCCAGCGGGTTACATCGGTAGTGGAATGGGACCAAACGGCTGTCAATTAGCTGATGTATCGGTTAATACAGCGTGTTCTAGCAACCCTTGCGTTCATGGCACATGCGTGCCAAGCGGTGCAAATGGCTTCACTTGCATGTGCAATACGGGATATTCAGGTATATATTAACGACGTAGGAATGGATATGAACGGAGAGAGGGAGAAGAGAGAAGGGAAATACATACATGGAGCCATTCGTAAACCGTAACGCTCTGTTTCTCACACGTGACTGAATAGCTGCGATATGGGATTAATTTACGTTTCGCGAGTGCACATTGGCCATAAAGTGTTGCAAATATGAATTATGAATTAAAAAACATAATTTTTACGTACATGCGCTACAAAAATCACTTATGTGGCTCGCAGTATATTCACAAAGCGAGAGTTTCCGTTCCATTCAGTAGAGATTAGAAAAAAAGGAGAAAACGAAAACTACACGTTATATATTTTTCCCTGTATTTTTATCATCTTTGCCCATTTTTTAGGAACTACATGCGACACGCCGGCTAACCCGTGCTCGCCAAATCCCTGTCGAAACAACGGTATTTGCGTCGTTTTGAACGGACAAGCGACGTGTGAATGTACACCCACCTTCACAGGAAGCAGATGTGAAACACAACGACAGGCGTGCGGTGGCATCTCACGGAATCCAATAGGAGTCCTTCAGTTCCCGATGGGTGGTAGTACTTATCAGCACGGATTAAGCTGTGCTTGGGTGTTGATCACGGACCCCTCGAAGGTTCTAAACGTCACCTTCACGACTTTTCATCTCGAGCAGTCTACGGATTGCAAGTTCGACTTCTTGCAGGTGTGATGTTTTTCCATCAGTCAAAAAAGTTTTACATACATTCACTTGAAATTATATGAAATTATATTTACTTGAAATTATTATTATTGTAGTAAAGTTGTAAATTTTATGAGCTCTCGAAGGATATATCTATCAGTAAGTGGCACTTGAGTCCTTGTGGACATTAAATAGGAAAGTTGGTACAAGGATTTGTAAACCGTTTGATCTTGTTTTAAGTAGTTTCTGGCATCGTCGAGTCTTTGATATTGTGTTTAGATTTTTTATGTTTTCATGTGTTAGATATTACAACGTAAAGATTGAGAAAATCGAGAAAGTGCGCATCTTTTCCACAACACCTGGTACATGTTTCAGATCCACGATGGAAAGAACGCCGGTAGTCAAGTGATCAACAGATTTTGCGGCGACACATTGCCCAATAGACATGGAAACATCGTCTCATCTCATAATTCTCTCTACTTATGGTTTCACTCAGACAGCAGTATATCTCATGATGGATTCACTTTCCATTGGACCAGTATCGACCCTATTTGCGGAGGTATTTTAGAAAATGACTATGGCACAATCGCGTCCCCGGGCTCACCAGGCAGATACCCTCCAAATAGGGATTGTTTCTGGAGAATCTCTGTACCAAACTCGAAGAGGATTCAGTTCCATTTCGGTCAATTGATGCTCGAGGAACATCCAACTTGTGAAAATGACTATTTAGAGGTAAATGCTTCGTAAATCAATAATATCGAACATGGTATTACGTGAAGAGATTTTTAAATTAAACATATTTCTTGTGCATGTCATTTTAAATATTACTGACAGTCGCGTATCACGTAATCTCTCGTGACGTTACTAACAAGTAAACCTACAAAAGGTTCACTCCGATTTATTTCTAATTTGGCACAAATGTATAAGTATAAATGTATAAGTATAAATGTATAAGTATAAATGTATAAGTATAAAAAATATTTAGGTCATATTTTTTCAGTTTGACCCATTTTGAGTTTCATTCATTGAGGACTCCATTCTAAATTTCTTTAGCCGAAATTCCAATCGAAATATTTCAAATCTGTGCTATATTAATAAAAAATGGTTCGAATTTTGACCAAACCGAGAGAAATCCGGCAATTTTGATTAAAATTTTAACAAGATCGGCATAGCTGAGACACGAATCATTCTAAATGTTTGTAGCTGAGATTTCAACTAAAATACTTTAAATCTGTGCTAAATTATTAAAAAATGGTTCAAATCTTGGCTAAACCAAAAAATTATTTGTATAAATAATGTTTTCAACTTTTTACATGTTTTGCTTAAACATTTTATTATTTATACAAATAATTTTGACCTCATATTCATAATCACCAAAAAAAAAATGCCTATATCTTGTATTCAATTTTATTTCTTATGCATTTTTGTTGCATTTGTTGATGATAGGGAGAATATTAAACTGCCTGCGAAACTTAAAGTGGACCAAAATGAAAAAATATTACCTAAATATTTTTTGTACTTTTACATTTGTGCCAAATTAAAAAGAAATTGGAGTGTAAACTTTGGGTAGATTTATTTGTAAGTTCTTTAAATTAATTGTTGAAAAATAGTAATATCATATTTATACGTTCGCATTTATTGTCAACTTTGATTCCATATTCGATACTACGTAGATTACCGGTATAGAGGAAGAACGTTTAGGACTTTACTGCAATCACACACGGCCACCTCCTCTTATCACACCGAGTTCTGAAGCGAGTGTTCACTTTCACTCTGATAGTGCCGGTCAAGACGTTGGCTTCCAGATTCATTATACGATGATCGAAGGTATATCCGCAGGAGGATTTGATTTGTATGATCTGAATTCATTAATTACGGCATTTATTTAAAAAAGATTTTATATAAGTAACTTTATAATTTATTAATTTTATTGTTTAGAAAATTCAACACAAAACGTTCTTGATATTTAGGTATACCAGGTTGCGGTGGAACTTATACCTCTTCCAGCGGCACAATTACTTCACCTGGTCACTCGTCGACTTATTTACCGAATATGCAGTGTGAGTGGAAGATACAGCTGCCACTAGGCGAGCGAATCAGAATAACATGGTTACGATTTAATCTCGAGGAATCCATGGATTGTCATTTCGATTTTGTCGAGGTAATTTCTTGAACATCATCTCCGTCTCTTTGATATACAATCTCAAGAAAGTTAAACTAACTCTTGTTTTTTCTTTTAGATCTATGACGGATCCGATACGTCTTCTAACCTGTTGGGCAGATTTTGTGGGTCAGATTTGCCACCGACAATTAAATCGACTTCGAATAGTTTAGTAGTGACTTTCAAGTCCGACTGGTCTTACGAGACAGAGGGTTTTGCTATATCTTACGATACTTTATGCGGTGGCGAGTTCCGCGAGGAAACTGGAATCATCAAGTCACCCTTCTATCCAAATAGTTATCATGGCTCAAAGAAATGTATTTACGAAATTATACAACCGATCAATAAGGGAATCGAATTAACTATAATAGATATGGACATCGAAGGCAGACTACCGCCAGACTGCTACTATGATTACATAGAGATTCACGACGGTGCTAATGAAAATGCAACGAAACTCGCCACATTATGCGGTGATCAAGATCAAATTCCTCCGGTTCCTTACATTTCAACGCATAATTATATGTATATTGTGTTCACGACCGATAATACCGTTGAAGGTCGAGGTTTCAAGGCCAACTACACAACCGTTGATCGCAGTAAGTTGATTTGCACGCACAGTTTACAATCTATTATTTAAGACGAAACTATTAAACTATTGAACACAAAATAATTACATGTATGTATAAATAGAAATTACAAAATTTGTGCGTAAGAATGAAATTTCGGAAATCATAAAATAATCACTTTTATTGTTCTTCTTAAGGATGTGGCGGTCTATTAAAACAATCAGGCGAAATAATTAAGCCTCCCACTGAGGAGGAACATTATTTGAACAACGAAGATTGTCTCTGGATTATACAAGCGCCGCCAGGATATGGTGTGCAGCTCACCTGGTTGTCTTTTAATCTGGAATCCAGTCCGAAATGTGTCTATGATTACGTGAACATTTACGAAAACTACACTTCGTCTACAGAAGATATAATAGCCACGTACGTTAGCACAATTAGCATAATTAAAAATGTTAAAAGCAAGATAAATTTATAATGATATTGTTACAATCACACGTAAATTTTTCTTTATTTAATGATCTCTCCATTTGAAACACATTCCAATTATACACATTTTAGATATTGCGGTACCAAAATACCATCCGCTTATACGACACAAAGTTCTATGCTCACTATACTTTTCCACTCAAACTCGTATGGGACAAGTGATGGATTCATTGCCACGTACATTTTCATGGACTTGACGAAGACCTGTGGCGGTCATTATATGAGGTCAACCGGCTTTATCAAATCGCCAGGCTATCCTGATCAATATATGAATAGAAAGCAATGCATTTGGGTTATCGAGGCACAAAACAGACACAGGATCATACTTAACGTGAAACATTTTGAACTAGAAAGTCATACGAATTGCGAATTCGATTATCTAGAAATTAGGTAAATATAATCAATTTAAAGTGTTAATTTAAAGTGTTGTTACTTAAAAATCGCTATTTTACATTTCACATGTTCTAGAAATGGTGGATATGAATCATCGCCGCTAATCGGTAGATTCTGTGGAGAGAAAATACCAACCGAAATACCAAGTCAGAGCAGTCAATTATATATTAAATTTGTCTCGGATTTTTCGAGGGGGTACAAAGGCTTTGAAATAGAATGGGATAGTACAACGGAGGGTAAGAGCACGCCGAAAGTTCTGATCAATTCTATTTTGTACTAATTTATTTTATCTCGAGTAATTTTTTAATCCACGAGCTTTTACATGTAACTTGATTTTAGGGTGTGGTGGTACAATGAACGCAGTTACCGGAGAAATAATTTCTCCAAATTATCCCGAATCTTATGCGCACAACGCAGAATGCTATTGGAAAATCGCTGTAGCGGCGGGTAGTTTGGTGGAAATCGTAATAGCTGATCTCGAGCTCGAGAATAATATGAGATGTCGATTTGACTTTATCGAAATATTTGAGGGGATCAGCCATCGCGTGAGAATAGGACGTTATTGTGGCACAAACTATCCCAAAGTTATTCAATCTAAATCCAACGAAATGACCATTCGATTCCGTAGCGATTTCACCAATTCCGGCCGAGGTTTTCATCTGAAATACGAAACGCGTAAGTACAAAGTTATTAATCAAATAATATGTATATGATGTTTAATATACTTGACGTTGTTTATGGCTTTAAGAAATACTAAAGAATAATTTCTAGGTTTGTTACATTTAAAAATTTCATCATTAAATATTAAGTTCTGAATTTTGATATGTTTGTTAATAGAAAGTTTTATTAAACTGCTTAATTTCTGCATATATGTATAGATAACTCGTCAAAATAATTGAATAATCTCAATTATTAAATGTTTGAAAGATAACTGTTGAGCATTGATTTTTTCCGCAGAATGTCACAACAAGTTGCGTGGCTTCTACGGTGTGATAGAATCACCAAATTTTCCCAACGAATACGAACACCAGACGAACTGCAGTTGGATTATCGAGGCACCGATCGGCAACAAGATCAATCTAACTTTCTCACATTTTGATCTCGAAGGTGATCATTCGAGCACCAACAGTTGCCGGTATGACTACCTTCAGATCATGGAAGGTGAAGGTGGCAGCGTCAATTCTGAACTAGCTCGCCTTTGTGGCGACATCGACCTGCCGATGAAAATAAGCTCAACGCAACATCAAGTTTTCATAAATTTCGTCACTGACCCCTTCATTGCTTTCAATGGTTTTCGGTTCGAATGGATGATTCACGGTTGTGGCGAACTTTTGACTAAACCTGTCGGTAGTTTTACGTCACCCGGATATCCTACTGGTTATCCAATGAATATCGACTGCGAATGGCTGATTGAAGTAGATTACGCGCATAGCATTGAACTCACTCTTCACGAGGTGGGTATCCAAAGAAATATTATTTCAAATATTTCACAAATTTTTACAACGTTGTTAAGTTAAACTAGCGTTGCAGCTTCTCATAAGTAGAAACTTCTGGTTTCAGGTAAACACTGAGAAACACAATGGTTGTTTCTTCGATAAACTTCAAATCTTCGCCGGCGAAGACGCGGAAGCGCCAAAATTATTTGAACTTTGTCACTCGGAAAAACCAGTAACCCACACCAGCCCTGGGAATAAGATGTTCGTAAAATTCCACTCAGACGTGTCGTACGCCGGTCGTGGTTTCAGCGCTAGTTACCAAACTGTTCCTATCAAATGCGGCGGTAAATTCACAACATTATCGGGCATCATTTATTCGGCCAATTACCCACAGAATTATCCGCACAGTCAGAATTGCGAATGGCTGATAGAAGTCGACAAAAATCACGCTGTAAATATCACATTTTTGGATTTCGATATTGAGAACAGCAGGAACTGCACTGATGATTACGTTAAGGTATGCTCTAACTTTCAAAATAAACTGCTTGCAAAAAATGCAGAAACATTTTGCCAAGTATATAGTTTTACCTTTTATTAAATTATTTTTTAAACATAATAACAAACGCTCACGAATGTTATCTTTCTCGTACCATCTTTTAATAGATCTTTGACGGATCAACACAAGACGATCCCTTACTGGGAACGCATTGTCGCAATGAACTGCCACCGTCCTATCTTTCGACTGCTAATAAAATGTTAATAGTCATGCGCACGGACAGCATTATCGCAGCGAAAGGTTTCAAAGCTCAGTATTCTCGAGCCTGCGGTGCTCGCATAATCGTGAAGGATAATGGTTTCCTTACGTTTGATGGCCATACCGATACTATTAACTGCACCTGGACATTGACAGCTGAAAATCCAGGTGAACATAAGTCTCTATCTGATTTTAACTTGCACTTCTAACTGATCATGTCACTGTTTTCATTAATTTTATCTCTCTAACGCAGGCGACCATGTAACTTTAACTTTCACGCACATGGAAATGGATCCTTCCGAAAATAACAAACTATGGGGTGATCCTTGCTTTATGACCTACATCGAGGTGTTTGAAGGTGACGGCATCGATGGTGTATCTTTGGGAAAGTGGTGCAATAACGTCGCTCCACCGTCGGTTATAAGTACCGGAAGTTCGATTACTGTACATCTGTACATGCGTTATGAGTTTCTCGGCCACTTCGCCGCAACTTATTCCGTTTTAAACACAGGTTTGTCGAATTAGAACACATATGAAGTACGCGATCTCACTAGGAGACGCCTCATTGACTCTGTTTCTGCCTCTTAGCCTGCGGCGGAAGCTACACATCTGAGCGTGGTACTCTCACATCGCCGAGTTACCCGAACAGCTATCCTTTGAACTCAGAATGCGTTTGGATTTTGAATACCTCTCCCGGCAACAAGATTAGCCTTACATTCTCCGTGTTTGATGTCGAGACGAGCGAAAACTGCGATCTGGATTACGTCGAAGTGCGGGAGGACAGCGGAATTGGAAAGCTGATTAACGTCCTTTGCGGTAAAGATGCCGCGTCAGTTACATCCTCCAGCAAACTGTGGATTAAGTTTAAGAGTGACAATTCAGGCACTGCCAAAGGTTTCGTGGCTGAGTATAGTTTCATCGGAGGTAACGAACTTGAAGGACCTTTAGGACGCATTACCTCACCATTGTATCCGAAGCCTTATAAACGGTCAGCCAGTTTCGCGTGGCGTATCACGGTCGACATGGAATCGATCATACGCATCCAATTTAGGGATTTACAAATAGAGAACATTGGGGATACCTGCATTTTTAGCGTCAGTGTGAGTATCCTTATTGAAAATAACGAAAGTCACGGAAAATAGTATAATTTAAATAAATAAGTATTAGAGTATTTGTAAAATATCACACATACAATTACTATTTTACATGAAATACATAAAGAACTATTACGTGCAGCATTATAATGTATCATTGAATATCAGCTTAAGTTTAATCTGTTTCTGATTAGATATTTGACGGATACAACGACGAAGCGCCAAGTCTATTGCAAATATGCGGCTTCGCTCTGCCAGACCCAATAGAATCATCCAGCAATATAGTTTATATCACGATGACTAGTGATCTTATCAGACAGGGAAATTGGTTTGATCTCACGTGGCTAGCAATACCGAAAAGTACCTTTAATGAGGTTAACAGAGAAATCAAATGTAAGATGTTTGTCCTGATTGTTTACACGTAATTAACTTAGTAATTTTACATTATTAACCGAGATAAATACATAATATAGTTAATATTAACACTATTTTGATAGAGCACTTTTGCATGGATGAAACAAAAATATGTGTGCTAAGTATGATTATGGAATGACTATGAGATTAACACGAGATACATGTATACAGTATACGTAACAATTTCGGTTCACTTCACTTCTCCACAGTGTCAGAGTGCAATAAGGAAATCGCTCTAATAAGTGAGCACAACGATACATATTCCTTCAGCTCTCCCGGTTTCCCCACCGGTTACGGACATAATTTGCGTTGCAACTGGATCTTTACATCACCACCTGGAACGCATCTGGTATTGAGAATATTATCTATGAATTTGGAAGAGACAATGAATTGCATGGCAGACTCCTTATCGGTTTATTCGGGATACGCATTGACATCGACCACCGATTTGACATCGACCGATGCCAAATTAGAGAGTAAAGTGTGCCTGTCAAACTCTACTATGTCTTTGATCAGAACGACTAACGTGATGACGGTGAAATTTGAGACAGATATGAGCATCAATAAAACCGGTTTCAACGCATACGTATATCGAGGTGACTAAGGCTTCAGTTTTTCTTCTAAAAAAATTGATTTTTGATGAAAACATAAGGCTCACCACACATTTCTGTTAATGTTTAGATTGCGGAGGTAAATTGACTGGCCCCAACGGCATAATTGAGTACAACAGTTCCTCGATGGGACTGAGATCACGTGCGTGGCATTATACGTGCGACTGGACTGTCGAGGTGAAGCCCGGTAGAACCATCAAAGTAGAGATTACTGATATGTCAATAATGCAAACAGCCGATCACATCTGCAGTGATAATTACCTATTGGTTAGTAATAAATTATTATATTACCAGTCCATAGATAATAAAAGCATAAGCGAAAAATTAACGAAAACACATTATACACACGATTTTTTAAAATAATTAATTAATGTTAAATAACATCTATTAATACACATTTATAAATATAAAACAACGTAAATGAACATAAAATACATACGAATAATCTATGTAATTTTAGTTAAAGAATGGAGGCGATATGCTTTCACCTTTGTTAGGCAACGGAAAGTATTGCGGCGAGGTACTACCTGCAGTATTAGAAACCACTGGGAATCGCTTTTTCATCAGAGCTGTTCGTAATGCGTCTTATTTTCGTTACAAATTAACTTACAGGTTTGTTAATTAAGCGATTTATTTTTTCTGCCAATGACATGTCTCTTACAAGTTTTACAAGTAAATTTCACAAGTTTGTTTTTACATTTGCGTGCTTCTGTAGCATATGCGTTTTCAATATTATTAATGTATGTTAAGAGAAAAGCGATTCAACGAAAGATTCATTTTAATCCTAAATTCCTTAATCTTATTTGTCTTGCTGTGTTTTAGAGAAGTATCCATGAATTGCGGCGGTGAGTTTATCTTGACGAGCAAACAGAAACAATGGGAAATATCCACTCCTAACTACCCAAACATTCCGCCAACTTACGCGGAATGTACTTGGAAAGCTATCGCTCCGACTGGCGAAAAACTTTCTATCCATTTTCAGGATAGATTTGATTTAAGCTCTAGTCCAAAGTGAGTTTCCCCAATTAAAGAGAAACGAAGCAAATTAGTCGGCTAAGATTTTAGCTCGCAAAATACGAGGTTTCTATTGTAATATTTTTAGCTGCGAGCGAGAATACGTCGAAATAAGGGATGGCGGTACCGACAGCTCAAGAAGTATGGGGACATATTGCAGAGACGTAGCGCCAAGTACTATGATTACCACTGGCAACATGATATACATTCATTTCTACACAGACTTGCCGGAACCGAAGAACGGCTTCAAAGCCGTGATCACATCCGGAGGTGAGGGAAAGAACTATATTTATGAGCTCCAATAAGAAACACGGGGCAAGACGTAAAAATTCATAAAAATTAAAAGCAGTACTTCTACGGTTTGTAATATATTTATATGTGTAAAAAATATTCACGAGAACTCTCTTGATAAAACACGCACGTCATACATTTTCACATAGACGTCTGCGGCGGAATTATGCGTGGTACCAGTGGTATCATTGAGTCGCCGAACTATCCGCATTTCTATGCTACAAACCAGTCATGCTGGTGGAGGATAATAGGTCCGACGGATCACACCTTGAAATTGCAATTTCGCGATATACACCTTCCTGGTTATCGCTTATGTAATGCAACAGATCACGTTCAAATCAGCGAGAAAGATATGGAAACTCTTGAGCGTGAGTAATTACGCAAATCAATTACGTAAATTTAATTGTATACCGGTTGTATTGTAACACCGTGATGTACAATATGCTAATGAAACTGCAGGCATACCAATTGGAACTTACTGTGGTCTTCTGAAACCGGACGTGATCGAGACATCGTCGAACGAAGCGTACGTCAACTTCGTGAGCGATAACAGGGATTACATGAACTACAGAGGATTCAGTATAAACTTCACGGCCAGCCAAGAAAGTCAGTAACTGCGAAATAAATTGCGTCAAACAATTTTCAATTTCGCATCGCGAACTTTATTTCATATATAATTTGCGCATTTTCGAATTTTAAATGTTATACGAATTTTATTGCTTCATATACATTATATTACTTATTTGCAGTATGCGGCGGTTCATTAACCGCAATGAGTGGGATAATTAAGTCTCCTGGATATCCTAATCCACGTATACGACCCAGGTAAACTTCCTTTAGAGAATTAACATTTCTTGTATCTCATAAAATTATTGAGTATTATGGAATATTCGATAGTTTGAAAAAGTCTTGAATATAAAAAATAATTCGTACATGTGTTTGATGTACACATTTTTTATAAAATTATGTAATGGCATAATTAACATAATTAAATTACGAATAATTATTTAATTAAATCGCTACTAGCTGAAACCGTATAAATAATTTATACTTTTAAATGGTAGTAAAAATTAATGTTATAATAATATATTATATAATTTGTGCAATGTTTACATAAATTAACGTCAGTATTAACGACGTATTAACAATGTATTGCAGATATTGTGACTGGAAAATTGAATTGCCGAAGGGTTACCAAATTGTAGTGAATATCCTGGACATAGATATCAACATCAATTTTCCTATCCGACACACGCGTACCAGATATTCACTTTCGGTAAATAGCGTAACGCAGGAAGCATTATTTCAATAAAAACGTACCAGAACGCACTGAAATTTTTTTCTTTTTTTCTCTTTATAGTTTTTCAACGATGCTCAGTTTAGATCGAAAATCAAAATCATTGAACGCTCTTCGTACTCTTCATACACAAGTGGGGACGTGATAAGGAGTTCTAGTAATACCATGGTGATCGGCTATTGGTCCTCCGTCGGGCATCGAGGTTTCAAACTGCGGTATACGGCTCAGGCACCAGCTCGTAAGTTTCAAAAGCTATTACCGGCAATAATTTATCCCCCGCGTATTTTGATGATGCGTACCGACGTGTTTCCTAACCACATTTCTCTCCTCTTTCATTACGCAAAATGTCAAGAGAAACATTAACAAGAGATCAACTTGTGTATGTTCATACACTGCTCATAGCTTGCGGTGGAAGCCTGTCAGAACGCGAAGGTAACATAACCGGCCCTACAACTCGACCCTTCAATGAATCCTCATATGTCTGCAACTGGAAACTGGTGCCACCCGAAGATATGATGAGATCTGACAACAACAGTGGCGTGACTTTAACAATAAAAGTAATAGGTGTTGTGGGTAAAGGCAACATGACTTCCAAAAGAATTTGCATCTTCTCTGAACGCATCGAACTCAGTGGTAAAATAATCAATTCCTCATTACCGATCATCGACAGTAGTTGTCGAAGGACGTGAACACAGGTAGGTGATAATATTACATGCATACAAAAAAGAACTTCATACATTGCAGATATTGGAGCACTATGCGGAAATATAACGGAGCCGCAGTATTTGAGAAGTCCAAAAATAATCAACGAGTTGACGGTAATATATCAGTACATCATAATCTGTTTTTCATTTCTGCATATAAACTTACTTGCATTTAACGCAAAGATATAACAGACTGACAAATCTTAATATTCATTTATTTATACAGATAATTAACGGTACTTTCGGAAGACGTATGAGCTACAACGTGCAATATCAGTGGCAGCATTGCGGTGGTATTTTACCAGGCCCGTCGCACACAATCAGGTCGCCGAAGAACATGTCTTATCCAATAAACTGCGTCTGGCACGTAAACTATCCTGACAACAATGAAATGATCAGCCTCACTTTCTCCAAACTTAATCTTGGTAGTTGCGAACAAGGTTACATCATCGTCAGGTAGATTAGTAATTTTATAATTTTTTCTTAAATAATCTCCGATTTAACTTACATATATAACTAACATATATATAACTAACTTACATATATACTGATATATATATAACGTGTCTCTATATTCAGAAACGGCGGCGCCAATTCACCAGAAATTGGAAAGTTCTGCGGTAACATAAAACCTCACAACATCACCAGTATATCGAATCAATTATGGATAGAATATTTCGCGGCGGGCGACCCGAACGATTTCGAAATTATTTTAGATGTTGCCAGCGCAGGCTGCGGCGGAACGCTACGCGGTCACGCCCGCGACATCTTATCGCCACAGTAACCATCGTTCGATTTAAGATAATACAGAAATTTAACAACACGATACTTTTACGAAGCAGGGGAATCATTCAATGATACTTTTGCAATTGTAGATACCCGAAACAATATCCAAATAATGGCGAATGTACGTGGGAAATAATAGGTAATAATGGATATCACCTAGGCTTAACGTTCGTCGAGCGGTTCAATTTGGAGACTAGTCCCAATTGCGAGAAAGATTACGTGCAGGTCTGGTAATCTCTTTGATTAATATGAGATATTCATTGACGTTGCTCATTTCCTTCGAGAATAAATTCAATTTATTCGTCGTATAACGACATTTTCGTCATATAGAGATGTCACAATTTACCAGCGATAAAATGTGCTGCGTTATGTAGATATTTGATTGGATCAACGGAGAGGAAAGCAGTAACGGCGAATGGAAGAGCCTTGGCAAGGTTTGCGGCAGGAACACACCTGCGCCCTTTAACTCGACGTCGAACCGCATGAAGGTGATTTTCCATTCGAACGAGGCGGTAAATTCGGACGGTTTCCGCGCCGTCTGGAACGAGAATTGCGGCGGTGTTTTCCAGGCGACCAAGAACGTTAAGATCATCCAATCACCGGTGTACCTGAAAATGTATCCGCCCAACGTGTCTTGCAATTATACCATTGTCGCGCCAGACGACGATATTATCGTCAATTTCACTGATTTCCAACTAGAGCGAGGTAAGTTACGACTGTCTGCTTCTAATGACACGCGTATTGTTATAAGTACTGGCAAGATTCTTTGAGGAATATTTGAATGTTAAAAAGAGAGAAGTTTAAAATCAAATAAAATTAATTTTTTTACAGATCAAAGATGTCGCTACGATAATGTCACAATTATCTCGGAAGATTTGTATGAGATAGAGAAGGTGGAGACTTATTGCAGCAATAACAAGCCTTCAATTGTAAGGTCTACTTCGCGAGTGCAAATTATTTTCATGACAGACAAGTTTGTGCAGCGAAAAGGCTTCCAATTTAAATATTTCCTCAACCGTAAGTTATTCACATTTCGATAAACTGCTATTCCGTGAACGATGATTTATAACTGTTATAATGTAATAAGTATGGAACATGGAAATTTAAAACACAAACTAATTTTTAATTTTAATGTTTAATTTAACGATTAAAAGAATAGAAATTCACAAGATCGTTACAGAAAAACTGGAAAAATAATGAGGTCGTTGTAATTAATAGAATGTGGCGGTATAATTACAAAACCCGCTGAACTCAAGCCTTTGATGCAAGGAGAAGAGTACTTCGGACGTATGAATTGCACTTGGGTTATTAAAGCTCCACAAGGGAAGAGCGTACTCGTACGATTTGAGAAGTTCATTCTTGAGTTTAGCGGAGGGTATGTTCCCAATGAATCTATGTCATGCTTATTCCCGAATAATATCGTCCATTTCACCATCGATCATTATTTTCAATTTGTAGTTGCTACTTCGACAATGTTGCTATTTACGAGGGTGATTCGATTAAGCGTAACAAACGAATAGCTCTAGTCTGCGGAAACTTGACCGCGAATTTACCCACTTTCAAGTCCGAGTCCAATTCCATGGTCGTCAACTTTAACGCCGATAGTTCGAGGCATTTCGAAGGTTTCACGGCCAAGGTATAATTTACTACGTTGCGTATTGATTTACTAATCACTAAAAATGATTAATCTTGCCATCTGTCAGTTGATTAATGACAAGCATCGCTTTTACGCGTGTGTACTATACAATTGCTGTCGTTTATTTCACTGATGTCTCGCTGGAATTCGAACGACAGAGCTAGTGTATTATTAGTGAGCAATTTCAGGTGCTATTCACGACAAGTCCAGCCGATGGTTGTGGAGAGGTCATCAATATGACTTCGATCCGATCAAAATCGTTCAGAACTCAACGGGCGGCAACTTATCAGCCATTCGAAGAGTGTCATTGGACTGTGATAACATTGTCAGGCAATATTAGACTTACCATCAATACTATGGATATCAAGAATTCGATTAATAACACAGGCAATACTGAAAGTAATAGATGTACCGGCGATTATCTTGAAGTAAGTTTAAATTTCGTCAATCTAATATCTCGTAGAAGTACTGATAATAAGATCATAGCATATGTGTTAGCTTAGCGTATATACTTTATATATATCGTAATAGATATGATATTGTGAGCAATATTAAACACGAGAAATTGTCACTATGATCAATTAATTTCAATAAACCATTTCTCGACGTTGATTAATACAATATCGGCTGAGTAATTTTCAAATTATTATTGAAAATCAAGTAAAGAAAAATCAAGAGATATCGTAGAAAATGTATATTCTTCGGTGTCATTTTATTATTCTCAGATCCGAGATGGCGCAGGATCTTATGCCAAATTGTTGGGTCAATATTGTGGAAATACACCACCATTTCCAATATTATCTACCACAAATATGTTATGGATTAGATTTTATACGGACGGCATAGCTGAAGGCACCGGTGCAACAGCCACCTTGGAAGTTGTCGATTGTAAGAAACTTTGAATTCACTTTAACTATTTATTAATATCGCGCTATTATATAAGACAAAGTACAGTTGCACAATAATTAATTCTGTTTAAAGAATATGTAATTATTTATAAATCCACAATATTCTCTTTGTTAGAAGAAAATTTTCAGTTTTAGTTGACTGTTTCTATTGGAAACCGATGTACTCGCCTTTCTCCAACAAATTTGTTTCTATCCTCATTACTGTCAATTTATATAATTGTAATTTCGTTTTCATTCAATGCTTTCGTTCTAGCCAAATGCGGCAAAACCAGTCTAACGATAAACGAGACAAATCAGATTCTTACTTCGCCGGATTATCCAGATACATACACGCCTGGAATTCTATGTCGCTGGTTTTTAGAACACCCCGACAAATTCAATGATAGAATGCGAATTCAATTTGTAGATTTCGATATGCAAGATTCCAGCAATTGCGAAAACGAGTATTTAGAAATTTCTGAAGAGAGTGTAAGTACATCTGGATAATAATATCTATATATTATGCATATATTATAATACCTATATATTTAATATCTAAATACATAGTATATCCACTTGACTAAAACACAATTTTCGAGTAACAATATATTATTTCTTCGCAATTAGCTCGTAAACTAAAATTGCTACTTTTTCTTTAATAACTATTAGCCGTACATATACGAAGGTTTCGGAGAGAATTTCATTTATAGTGGAGTACAAAAACATCCAATTACCATTGAGATGGTAAGATGCTTTTCGCTATTGTTGAAGTGTGTCTTGTTTTATCGATGACACATCTATCTTATTTTCTATATTATTTTACAGGGCAGCAGGCTACCTTATACCACGTTCAAGTTTTGTGGTGGCATAATGCCGCATGATTATTACAGGTATTTAAAGTTGTTTATTAGTTCGTCATGTGGCGGCGTATCCATTTAGGAAGCGGTATTATTCTAAATATAATATTTTCTTTGCAGTTATGGCAACAACATTCAAATAGTTTTCAAATCAATGTCTAGAGGTCATAAAGGTTTCAAACTACAGTACAACAGTATGGCAAATTGCGATCGGAATTATACGAGTGAACAAGGACGAATCATTCATCGGGGATTCACAAGCTGCTGGATCACTATCACAGCCCCAGCAAACCATACTATTTCCTTATATTTCAATCAATTCAACATTTACGACGAAGAACACTGCACGCATTACGCGTTGCAAGTATGTTATTCTTCCTATCTCTAATAGAAAAATGTAGCCAATGGTTATATAATCGTTTCTCTCTGCGAAAAACTGAATAATGGGGAATTTACTTCGAAGGATATTTATTACAAATTGAAACTTTTGCAAAAATCTTATACATTTCGTAGATTCACGATGGTGACTCGAGCAGCCCGCTTTTAAACACTTTATGCAGCGGAATGTTACCAAGCCCGATTTTCAGCACCGGTAACAAGCTCACCTTGCATTCCTGGACCCAGAATAGAAATTCTTATCAAAGTTACGATATCATTTACACGACCACCGATGCAGGTACGATGCGCTCGCGTAGCAGTGCACAAATCCCTCCATTGCATCCGATTAATGCACGCCACTAGATGCAAGGAAATTACAATGTGCGCGCGTACACAATAATTTACGATGTCACGGTGCTTCGAAGATACACGCTCGTGAAATGTCACGTTTTATTTTCATGCGATCGTGTAAATACAATTGCGATCTCGCGACGCGAGATTATTCATTTTAAATGTTAGACGCATTATAGTAAAATAGACGTATAGATCGAGGTCCAACATAGTTTCACTGCTTAAAAACTGTTTAAAAACAAAACGCGCAGGTCGGGGATGCGGAGGTCGTATATTCAATTATGGCGGCAGATTCACCTCACCGTTGTATCCCAACATATACCGCAATGACACGGTATGTACTTGGGACGTGAGTGTACCTCGCAACTTGAAGATTCTTCTTCAGTTCTCCGTTTTCGACATCGGCACGAGGAAAAACTGCGAAAACAATAATCTCAAAATTTACGACGTCGTTCCCAGCGGAGAAACTTTAAGCAACACTTATTGCGGCGGAGTAAGTTGTTCCATCTAATAGTATACTGTCGAAAACTGCCAACAGATTCTAACTAACTAATGAACCAACTAAGTAATTATCTAGAGAAATACCGGTCTGATAAGAAGTAAAGTAAAATAAGAGTAATTCACAAGAATTGAAATTAGATTTTAGATAATCTTTTCAAAAGTCTCTTCGATGTTATGTCATATACGAAAAAATATATTGCTTGTCTTTTTTTATACACAGGATAATCCAGCAAGATTTGAGGCCGCTAGTAATCGAGTTCTCGTAAGATATACTTCGACAATGAACAACTTGGGAACAGGATGGGTTATTATATTCATGGCGCAATCAACTAGTAAGCCAAATATCAACTAGTTCGCCAAATAAGATATTAAAATTTTTCTATTCACGGATATATATACATTTATGAAAATAATCGCAAAAATGTGTGTATTAAGAGATAATAATTGCGAAATAATGTTTTTAGCGAATCCCATCGATATAATGGAAGATTAATACGGGGATTATCAAATTTATCGAAGGTAATGTACGTATTGAATGTACATATAAGAACGTATAAGATACGTATAAGAACGTATAAGATGTACGTATAAGAACGTATTGTGAGGCTAACATATAATTTACTGTAGATAGACGAAAATAATAAATAAAATGGTTTAAATGTCTAATGCATTATTCGATTTTAGTGCTATCATTCAATTTTAAACAGCACCAATAAGGCACGATAAAATATATTATCGCAACATATCTTTGAACATTCTTTAAATATGTATTTGAAATTCATGTCGTGTAGTATTATAAATAAAGCCTCACTATACTGTACACTCATTTGTATTCGCTAAACATTCTTCATTCTCTTCAGCTTCAACCACCTCTTGTTTTTCTTCCTGTAGAACTTCAGTTGTATTTTCTTCCTCTTCGTCAGGTCCTTCTGATACTTCCGTCTCAGATCCCTCTTCTTCCTGCACTACTTCGCGCGTCTTTCTGTTTTTATTTTTCTGCGTTTTCTGAACTTTCTTATTATTCTCAATCTCTGACTTGGTTTCTACCTGATCTTGAGTATCTTCAGATGCTACATCAGCTTTGATTGGTTCTTCATCGTTAACTTCAGATACTTCTGAATCTGTGTTTTCAACCACTTCTTGCTTCTTCTTGTTCTTATTATATTTGGTTTTCTTACTTTTTTTGTTCTCGTTATTCTGTGTATCTTCAAAGTGTTCCGATTTGGACCGCTTTGACTTCTTCTTATTCTCAACATCAATATTCGCCTCTTCGTTGATTACTTCGTCAACGTTTTTTGATTTTTTCTTGTTTTTTTCTTCTTTTAAGCTTTTCTTCGACTTTTGATTTTGTGATTCCTGAGAAGCTTCGGAATATTTATCAGATTCTTTCGATTGTTGTTTAGAATCCTTGTTTTTCTTATTTTGTGTGTCCGTTTTTATTTTCTCTTTTGAGTTCGATTTATTTTTGATATTTTTATTCTTTTCGTCGTTTACTTGTTCAACACTTTCATCATGTTTGCTTTTCTTGTTCTTTGATTTTTGCTCCGATTTATGAGAATTTTTTGCCTCTGAGTATTTTTCGGAAGGTTTCTCGATATCATATTCCGATGATTCACTGCTCTTCCTTTTGTTTGACTTTTCTTCCTTCACAGACTTCTCCTTTCCTTTTCTTTCCGACTTTTCGGACTCATATTTATTCCTTAAAAAAGAATTCTTCAATTAGTATAAACAAAGTATATATCTACGAATTTAAATGTATTAATATGTAATAATCAACACATCTACGTATTGTAATTAAAATATACGATATATTCATGAAGTCTTGTACTATCAATATATAATTTCTCATTAAGTAATTTAATTCAATTTTTTTATTTATTTATTAATAATAAACTACTTTCTCATCGGTTGTATAATAATATACTGCGATGTACATTGTATATTGTAATTTTAAAGATAGTAGTTGCTATTCTTGTTGACTAATTCAAAATTAAATATAGTCGTCCAATTGTAAGTTTCCCTAGTTTAATACTGATGTTTACACTCAATATGAGATATTTTCTTTTATTACTTCTTTTATTATTGATTCAGTTCTATTTGTACTTACTTTGAATTACGTTCGACATGGATTTTATCTTGTTTCTCATTTTTGTTTTTGGATTCCACATCTTTTTTGAATTTCTTTGCAAACACTTCCGACGCGAATATTGTAACAAATAACAGCACGGTAATCCACAACCACAGCCTGAAAAGATTCGAATTTCATTATTTCCACCTTCATTCTTATCGTACCTCAAACGTGCAGAAAGAAAGCATTATATTAACATAAATATAATACATTAATATAAATAGCGTGCGAACTGCCTAAATCATGATAAAATAAATTTGTGAGCCGAAATAACTGACAAATGTAACTTGTTATGTAACATGCGTATATATTAAAACCTTATGAAAGCTAAATGATAACATACACAATCTTAAGTTGATGTGATGTATCAAAAATGTCTTATTTATTATAACTCTTAGATCTTTAATGTTAAGTAAATCTTAAGAAATTTTCGAATCAAATTCCTATCTTAAATCTGAATACTTTTCAGACGTTAATTCTCTCTTACCTCATTATGTTAATTGTGAGTTAGACTGAGTGCCGTGAGTTCGATGAGTTTGTAAAGTCTCGATTCACTACGTACGTCTAATTACGGAGCTACTCTGGCGTAGTCTGACTAGTCTGGCGTCACTATCTCTCTTCAGACGTTGCTTGTCTCTTATATCTCATACGTTGTCTCCGAAGATATCTTGATAAACATACCGCGTGTCGCATACATTCGTCAGCGATTTATGAAGTCAATATCATGAATGCTATCTTTTTCGAATCTGCAAGAATGGCATACTTTTACATGTAAGACTAGCATTCATAAAGAACAAGATTCCAATACAAATACTCCCGTATTGTATCCATGTAGTCATAAACACGACCCGCAGCGTTTTAAGAAACTCCACTGAAATCGCAAAACAGAATTTCTTCAATAATTTCTGTCTACATTTACGTTAAATATACTTTCTCCTTTCGTCTCGTCAGCGTCATACAGTTTTCCACGTAAAGAATTGAACTGACGTGGTCCAATCAGTGCGGATATCTTATTACAGATATCTAATCTAATATCAACAACGATTGGCTACAGCAATCTACGTACTTTCATGCATTGACGTTAATAAGCACTCAAAGTATAATAAACAATCGCAGTTATTCAGGTAATTTTTGAGAAATGTGGATTATAATGTAATTAAAAATATTCATCAAAGATAAAAAGTCCTCTGTGACGTCTATGAACGAATTTGATCAACGATAACTCTCTCTCTTTCTCTCTCTCTCTCTCTCTCTCTCTCTCTCTCTCTCTCTCTCTCTCTCTCTCTCTTTCTCTCGCTTGCTCTTTCTCTCAGAAATATTTATAATAGTCTTTTGAGAGAAAGATCGCGCACACTCTATAATTTTCTCAATGTTCAGTTTAGTACAAGACAGTAGGTTCAGAATTTATTCTTACCGAGACTTAGCTATACTTTTTTTCAGTTAAACGTACTCGCTGTTTCGATAAAATTATATCGATATACAAACTCCTATTTATGCATAACTAGAACAACACACAGCATAACATATAGCACAATGCATATAACAACGCACAGGCGCGTGCTATATGCATTTTATTCTTATTGATAATTTCATAAAATAATATTTGAAAATTTTTCTACAATATCACAGCATTATTTAAAGAGAAATATAACTAATATAAATAAGTGCATAAGAATTGGTTGATCTCTTATTATAGTTTCATTATATCATCTATATTTTTTGCAAGAACTTAATTTATTTTGCAACAGTAAAACATTATTTATCAGTTTTCATTTTATTTATATAATGTATATTTTCTAATTTTTTAATAAATTTACTCGTATTTCTTGTTATACCATATATATTTAATAATGGTACATACTGCAATATATTCAGTTTTGAAATTACTAACTTTCATCATGTACTTGCACAAATAGCTTCTCAAAAGTGGACTCTTCGTAAAAACAGTAAAAACATAGGATACTGTAGGATATTCTCCCTATAATAAAGAATTCATATTTATATATTGTTATATTAGTATCACTTAAATAGATTATCTCAAATATCAAAGCTAGTAAGCTAAAAGCATTATGTAAATGTTCCATTATGTTAATGTTCTTAAGATTAAAGTTATTTTTTGTCCCTAATTATTTACAAAAAATATTAGTATTTTAGAAATACTGTAAATAATAGCATAATTAGATTTTTTGGAGTTATAGTAACAAATAATGAAAACTTTTAGAATTAATTTCTGGATACATATACAATACATGCGCATGAGAAAAGGATCTTCAAAAAACTTAATAAAAACAGTACTTCAAAAACAGTAATTCAATATTTCTTGAAACAGTTGATTACTTCTTGAGTACCATTAACAATAATGAATAATTTCTCAAGATTAATAATGGTAACAATAAGTTTTAAATATGTAATAAGCAAATTGATGTAAAGCTCTTAGGTTAGAAGTTACCTTTTGACTTTAACTATTTACTAAAAATATCAATTTAGTTCTTAAATATAAATATAGCAACATAATTACATATCTTGGGTAATAGTAATTAATATAAATAAATCTTTTATGGTTAGTTTGAGGACACATATAAAATGTATATGCATGAGACAAGCGGTATCAAACTGTCAAGAACAGCATCTTCAAAATTTGATGAAAATAGCATTAACTTACTACTTCTTGTAATGATTGATTACTTCTTGAGTACTATTAACGATAATAAGTAATTTCTCAAGATTAGTAATGGTGACAATAAGTTCTCAATGTAATAAGCAACTTGACGTAATGCTCATACGGTTAGAAGTTACCTGTTGTCTTTAACTATTTACTAAAAATATTAATTCAGTTCTTAAATGTAACTGTAATAGCAGCATAATTATGTCTTGGGTAATAGTAATTAATATAAATAAATCTTTTATGGTTAGTTTGAAGACACCTATAAAATATATATGCATGAGACAAGCGATATCAAACTGTCAAGAACAGCATCTTCAAAATTTGATGAAAATAGCATTAACTTACTACTTCTTGTAATGATTGATTACTTCTTGAGTACTATTAACGATAATAAGTAATTTCTCAAGATTAGTAATGGTGACAATAAGTTCTCAATGTAATAAGCAACTTGACGTAATGCTCATACGGTTAGAAGTTACCTGTTGTCTTTAACTATTTACTAAAAATATTAATTCAGTTCTTAAATGTAACTGTAATAGCAGCATAATTATGTCTTGGGTAATAGTAATTAATATAAATAAATCTTTTATGGTTAGTTTGAAGACACCTATAAAATATATATGCATGAGACAAGCGATATCAAACTGTCAAGAACAGCATCTTCAAAATTTGATGAAAATAGCATTAACTTACTACTTCTTGTAATGATTGATTACTTCTTGAGTACTATTAACGATAATAAGTAATTTCTCAAGATTAGTAATGGTGACAATAAGTTCTCAATGTAATAAGCAACTTGACGTAATGCTCATACGGTTAGAAGTTACCTGTTGTCTTTAACTATTTGCTAAAGATATTAATCTTTTTAAATGTAACTGTAATAGTAGCAGAATTACATTTCTTGGGTAATAATAACTATTATAATTTAAACGTTCAAGATTAATTTGTGAAAACATCTAGAATATGTATACACGATAAGTGATATCAAACTGTCAAGAAAAAGATCTTCAAAACTTTATGAAAAATATTATTAATTCAATGATACTTGTAATATCATATTATTCCTTCAATAACAATAACAGTAATGAGCAATTTTATTTAATCATTAATGATAACATTTAGTTTTTTTTCAACATACTGTAACTAATAACGAGTAACAGCATATTAGTTCTAAAGTATAACTTACTTTGGTAAATATTATATCTTATATAATATAGTATATAATTATTGTAATATATATATATATATATATATATATATATATATATATATATATATATAAAATACAATCTATATAATGTGGCATAAGTAACTTACTATATTTTTTGAAATATATGAAGCTCTGTTATCTTACTTTTTATTTAAAAAGTTCATTAATTCAAATCTCTACTTCTTTATTTAAATATCACGCCTAATCTAAATATTATAATGCTTTCTATGAGTAATATACTTATGAACTAATTTTATATGAGTTCTCTTACAAGTTTTCTATCTCCTAGAATAATCAGTCAGATTGTGTCACAAACAGCTGGTTCTCTAATTGGATACTTTACAGAGATACTTTCAATGGGTTTTTTCTCAGATATGTTTAAGTAAATATTTTATATATGTAGGTACATAATTATAATTAATAATTATATATTATACGAGTTTTACGCTTTTATTTCGAATATCATTTACTTTTTATTCTTATTCTCTTATCTTGAAAAGCACTGAATGAAATGAAAATATAATTTAGATCTCGCTGCTTTTCTCAGAACTGAGAGAAGATAGAGAGCGCTGACAATTATTAAACTCATTTCTGCGCCTGCGTCAAAAAGATCTACCAAACGTCAGTTATATTTATTAAATATAACTGTAGAATAAAATATTTACGTTTGCAACTAGTATATATAACGACTACAACAAAGCAATTATGAAGACAACCGTTATGTCCTCATTATCAAATTAAAAATCGAACTGTGTATTCTTAACAGTCCAGCAGTTACATTCGTAATTTCCCATTAATATTTCCGCAATATCTCGAGAAACTTAAATAGAATACGCGATCGTATGAAATGTTTATATATGCAGGATTATAGTCACTCTTATCATATTATGAGGTTATCGCACCACTTATCATTATTTAACGTCTAATGGAATTCATACCATTTTAAATTCTGAAAATCTATAAGTCCCAGACAACATAATGTCTAAAATCGGGACATAAGACGTCTTAAAAATAATCTTTAAGACGCCTTAAAGACATTTATACGTAAATCGTTTGAAAGACATCTTAAAGATAATCTTTAAGACGTCTTATGTCTCGATTTTAGACATTATGTTGTCTGTTGCAATATCCATAATACAAAAATTAGAATTGTTTGTAAATTGACGTTTCAGGAATAAGGGGAATGGTGGTATCAGACGCATAATAAAGATATTTCAGTTAATAAAACTATATATGTTTATATATTTTGAATTAAACTCATGTATCTGCATTATATAATAAATCATCTGTCCTATTTCTAAGTAACTCTTTTTAGTAACATTCAATGTATAATACAATTTCTAGTATATTATTTCTCGACGCTCCTGGTCCTTGACTTTACAATGGAGTTTGAATATGATGCGGTAATTACAGAAGTATTAAGATAAATCGACGTATTCGTTATTGTTAGCATTTTCCTGTTTACATATTACTAAATTGCTCCAATAAATACAACGTCCAAATATATTTGTCACATAAAAGATTACATTCGTAATTATATATGACATATAAAATGAATGATAATCACTAAACTAAATATATAGAAGATTGAAACAAAAAAGAGAAAAAGAGAGGACAATTTTATTTTTACGTCTATCATAAATTTATTTATTTAGGATAATTGCATAATTCCTTCGCAATGTTCAAAATTTTTGTTCAAAAAATTATTTTCTCAAAACAATTTCCATTAAAAAAAATAACTCTTCAAAATATTCTCTACGTTATAACTTTAACTTTAATAAAATTATATAATAATGTCCTTTTATATCTCAAGATAATAACTAATGTTTACATATATTCTATATACGCGACAAAAGAGATTATAATTAAAACATATACAATATTAATTGAAGAAACAATCATTGACTCATATCTTATATACTTATATATATATCAATGTACTAAAGTATAAAGTACATTGTACACAAGTATAAAGAGATAAAATTGTTGAAATTAGAAAGAAATATTAGTACAAATAATTCGATGTAAAAACTATGCGAAATTTATAATACTTGTATTACCTACTAGGACTACGTTCTAATATTCTGCCAGTATTGAAAATCTGTAATATGAACCATATGTAGTATGCGTAATATGAACCATAGATTTTTAGTATTGGCAATGGATATCGGAACGCAATCTATAAATTATGTGCATACATTGATAACGGAATCATTGCATCTGTCTAACATGTGTCCCACCACCTGCAGAGAGATATTCTTTCGCTTTCGTCGCGATGTAATGGCAGGTTTATAGTATTAATTTACAGTCATGAACATTTTGTCAAGTGTATGTTTCCTATACATACATACAACTATAATAATTTGTAAAAATTAATAAATTATTAGACATGTATACAAGAAAGAGCTCCATCAGAGCTTGTCAATTTGAAAACCTACACGCACCATAAGGCACTGATTATAAAATATAAGTACTGATAAAAGTACCTCTCAATTCTGTTTTCATTTAGTACTCGCTACTTCATAATGATTACATCTGCATACACTATTACAAAATTAAAGAAACAAAAATTATCTTCAGCAAATATACATTTTAAGTATCTCTTCAAAGTTATTATAAGTACTCTAATAGTTCCATATGTTTTTTTCAGTATATATGAGAGCTTATCATAAGCTCTGTTATATTTTCATAAATTTCAGATAATACTCAAATAATAATATTGTCAGAAAGATCAAAATAATTTTTTTATATCTTTACGTCCCTCCCTCCTGAGGTTAATTAACACATTAAACGCATAGATTATAATTGAAAGAGAAAAAATACAAAAGAAAATATATTCTACAAATATAAAAGAATTAATATATCAATAATTAGTAATGTACATATAAATTTCTCGGGTATCCGCATAGAAAAAATAAGTAATAGTTTGGTACCGTCATGAGATCTATATCTTCGTATTATCTTACGAATAAATTACTATACGATGCTTTTCTTGCATATTAGATAATATGTATGAACGGGCAATTATAATTTACTTATCACCGATTATTTCTCTAAACGTTTGTGTATTTCTTTTATACAATCTGCGTTGAAAACCAATTGGAACATTTTGACATTCCTGAGAATCGCTTCATAAAAATATCATTCTCATTACTATAATATATAATACCCTGACGCCTATAGCATTTCTTTTGCATTAACAATCGCATCTATTTACAGAAATTTAAAAAGAGGGAGACAAAAAAGAGAGACAAAAAAAGAGAGAGACAAAAAAGAGAGACCAATATTGAAAATAAGCATTCTTCATATACGTAGAAAGAGCTACGTTTTTATGAGAATAGCTTTTTTGCGTTAGAAGACCTAAAGGTTCAACACAAGGAATGACGGCAGTAGAAAGATAGGGAACTAATCTGTTACTTGTGTAAGTCGTAACCTATGTAAAGTATACCGAAAGAAAAGTATATTACGCTTGTTCCATATGATTTGTTTGGCTTGGAACAATCCTGCTCTTCTTGCGGGGAGATTCATTCAAAGGCTGAGAGTCCTCCTGAACGGATTGAGGATATTTTTGATCGGGATAATTCCATGCTTGGATGTCCGCTGAGCCGAATATCTGATAGGCAATATACGTGATGCAAGACACACCCGCTGTGACCGCAAACACATTCCTCCACGCGTCGAGAGATTGCTATTTGGAACATTACGTTACGTTATAAACTTGCATTTAAGTAGACCATATAGGAAAAGTTGGGAAGAGAAAAGCACGATACTCACGCTTTCCTGTGTGAGCAGACCAGCTGCTATTGGGGATAGAAAACTCGCGGTCATGTGAATTGTCTGTGCGAACGCTAATACCGGCCCTAAAATAACACATCGATTTATATACATATCAATATTTTAAAAATATATTTTTGATACTTCCGAATAAGTGTCAAAACATAAACACTCACCAGCGAAATTAGGTGCGATGTCAACAATATTGGCCATTGCACCGGCGTAACCAGCTGTTATGAGAGTAACAGCTATAAACCATATAACTAAAACGAGGATAATATTGCAGCCCAGGTATCCGATCAGAACTACGAGGATTCCAGGAACTACTTGTGCTGTAAGGAAAAAAATGCAATTTCTCGTAATTAAATTTCCGTGTATTCGTTGGGGAAGGAAAATAACGAGTAGACTTACACAACGCGGTAAATATCTTGCGCACAGTCAGTAAAGTCATTATTTGCCGTGTAACCAGGACATCTGCAACGTAGCAGAATACAACGGAACTCAAATAGCTGCAAATAAATGGTGCGCCCGATAGGATTCCATTCTAAAAAAAAAACAAATTTGTTATTTTGATGAACATAATATCGACAGAATTAAGACGGGCATTTCTCAAGTATGATAAACACATACTGCCTGTATGCTGAACCCTAACACCCTCTTCATGTACATCGGGCCAGGAATGATAAAAACGTAATGTACCCATATTCTACCGAAGGTTGTGATGCCAATGGACCACGCTGGCCAGGACGTCAGTATAGATTTCCAAGGAACAGGCAAATCCTTCAAATATAATTGCACAGTTAGCGCAGAGAGTTCATTTATAAAGAAGACAATGCTAAATTGTTTTGAACATTAGACAATAAGCAAAGGACATTTATTAATTAATATTAACATAATTAACTATATATATATATATATATATATATATATATATATATATATATATATCCTACCTCGTTCGAACCAAGAACTTGATTTCTAACACCTTCCTGAATGTAACGTAGTTCCGGCTGAGATATTCTGGGATGTGAAGCGGGAGTATCGAAAGCGCAGAAGTACCAGAAGATGCACCAGATGAGACCGATGCTGCCAGTCGTGTAGAACACTGTCCTCCATCCGAAGTGAGCGATGATAAATGCGCATAATGGGTAGGTCAAGCCGATGCCGATGCTGAACCCTGAATATAGATAACCTGGATGTTAGGAGTAGCTCACCCTACGAGCCGGAAGGAAGCTGAAACATGATGCTTGTCGAATGGCCTCATCTTGATTTGTTACGACTCATGCGTGGTGATGACCGCTCTTCAGAGTCACGGCGTACGTATTTCACCCTGTAAAGCGATTCAAGTAGAGACTTAGTACGCAGGAACGAGGGATGGGACATGATGAAGCTCTATGGTGGGACAATGAAACTTCTATATCTGCAAATAATAAGAGCGTAAACTCGTTCTACCTGGAAAATGAATGTCACTCTTCTTACACAGAGATCGGAATCACAAAAAGTATCGTGTAGGGAGATGAGAAGAAAATCTGATATGACGAGCAACGAATTAATAAAATAATACGCTTATAATAAATTGAAAGGAACCTCTACAACGTGTTACACTAGAAGTATTTTTTGTTGCCACATCACATCAAAAATGGGAAAATAAAAGGAGCAATTTGTAGCTGAATATCTTTAATATTCAGAGATAATAAGATTATAATATTGCACAACAAGCAAACTAAATAACATTTGTTCAGTAGCTATAAATCGATAACAAACAGAATTAACGTTTAAGTGTTAACGTTAGCATTTCGATAAACCAGTGGTTTAGTTTTACCGAGCAAATTGACAATATAAATAGTATAAATAGTAAAAATCACAAACGCGCGGTATAGTGAGTACAATATAAAATTTGTGGTCCCGTCTCTGGGAAAGTTTGAGTGAGAAGAATGATTAGATTATCTCGTACCGTAGACAAGTGTGGATGCAGTCAAAAGACAGAATTGATATATGTAAGAGATAAGTGTATATAATATACATGTTCGACGAGCCTAGTTGATTCTACCAGTTGGAAGTATACTCGGCCTTTCTCATGCTGTTGAGTGGTCGCTGTTGAGTATACCCCTCGTTCCGGCGAATGCAACCTTGTAGAGATGAACGATTCTCGAAGTCATTAACAAGTGACAAAATTCATGGATTGATGCGCGGCATTTATCGGTAAACCGTTCGCATTTTAGCGACAAATTATTTTTCCGATCCGAAATTTTGACGGGAACAATATGTTATATAGCAGAGAGAATGAATTGCTTCTCATTCGAACTTCCTCTATTCCACTCTGAAAGAAGCGTGCATTAGTATCACGAGAACACAATCAAAAAGGCGTGGTACGCAATTTTATTTTGCTGTTATACTTTGCGGAGAATACGACGGAATATGACGGAACGCGTAGCTTTGGCCTAATTATGGATTTCGAAGTTTCACTGTAACACACAAAAACCTCTGTTAGCGGCTGGCACCTGATAACGTACCTTGAAAGGAAGACATGAAGCGCGAGCGTTCCACGGGTGGAATCCAATGTCCGATTACGGCGTACATCGCGGGCCACGTGAGTCCCTATTTTCACAAGAAAAGAAACAAATAAATCTACGTCTGTGTATTCCCTATTCAGAATAATACAGAAATCCAGAAGACATTATACGGAAAACAGATAAAGAATGTCTCAAAGATGTCATTTTTAACTGCTTTTATGACGTCTTCTACACGTTTACGTAATTAGATATAGTGGTAAAATGAATCGCAACATTTGGTGATTTCTCGAAAACTTACGCTTGCAATGCCTTGTATGCTGCGTAACGCTATCATGGCCCCGTAATGAATCTCTGCAGCGGATGGCATAAGCAGACTGCAGACGGCAGTGACGATCTGGGATCCGCCGAATATGGTTTTAGTGCCAAAATATTGAGTAAGAACACCGCCGATCATTTGTGAGAGTATGTAACACCAGTAAAAGGAACTAAGAATGGCAGACTGAATAGCTGGACTCCACGTGAACTCGCCAGCGTCCTGTTCATAAAAATAAAACATAAAAATAAAACAATTATATAATATAGTTTGGAATCAAATTATATAGTGGGAATCAAATTACGTCAAGCTTGCATTTAAATAAGAAAATATATTAACTTCTTATTAAGCCAGGAAGATAAATAAAACATGATATTTAAAAAAAAGCATTTAATATATATTAGTTTCAACCCTTACAAGATCGTTATTGCCTTTCCACAAACATTGAAAAGAAGAATTGCATAGATAGTTTTTCTCTATAGTTTTTTCAAAAGAATAAATAAATATTGTTATTAATGTTGATTAAATTTCTATTATTTGCCGAGCATTCCCTTCAGATGCGTCAGCTAATGATATTATTAACTTTGCGTGTCATAATTTCCAGATGACGAACAGAACAAACATTACCGCTATTCGTTATCTGGTTAAATACGCGAATCGGTATAAATTCACCTTTCACCAATGAATCATTTTTTTATGTTATTCATCGTAATAACAAAGCATCGGTGTGAAATAAATTATGCGAGGTAATTGAACTTGTGTATTTTATAAATGTAATGAGTTCTGTCGCTACGAGCACATAAATCATATAAGTCTACTGATTCATTATATGTATAGGCTATTGACACGACAAAAATGATATTTTCAATAATTTATGTTTACTTTGTTACGGTAAACATTTTTATAATTAGAAAGATACACGGTTTTCACCGAGCTTCTCATGCTCGATATTCCGTATCAAAATTTTATACAAGGATACATATATATTGCGCAGAGTGCATCTAGCTTACCACATGATTACGTTAGATGATAATAATGGTATCCGCGCTGCACTCGTAGTGTTCGCACATAAGTAGTCATTTGATGACGTTAATCGCTATCAGTTATCACGCGACAGGATATTTAATTGTGATTAAACACACATGACGCAATACGCGACATATTTCACATTTACGTTCCTCATTTCGATGCAACAATAACATTCGACGTGCATGAAACAAGTAATTTCTTATTGATGTGCAATGAAAGATTCTTCTTTTTTGCGTCAAGAGGAAAAAAGTCGTCGTTATTTCCAAGAATCGTGTACAAGCGGTATGTATGCGGAGGAAAAATCATGTACTATATATCGTAACGTTGGCGACAAACATACCTCCGGTCTAATCATGGTAGTGTTTTCCGTATGTGACGCATTCGTCATTGTGTAACAGTGTGACGTTACCGCGACATCGTTGTCTGATGTTGACGGCAGCTTCACCATGGCCACCATAGCGATGTTAATGTCTGTCCTCATCATGAAAGATACAAGAAATCCGGAGAACGAGAGTAGGTACAGCACTACGCGTGCTGGGATCATGTCTGCAATCAAGAAATTTAATTAGCAAAACTAACAATGATTCTACATTGCCTATTCTAAATATATTAACGGTATCGACATTGTATTAATAATTTAAATAATATTGTTTTTTTTATTAATTTTTATAATTTTATCGTATAAGTAAAATTATTCTAAGTTATGGTACAAAACATATTACCTCCTAATTTTCGTAATCTGCAAGGTGGTCCTTTTTTATATATATTAGATTCCTCATATCTGTGTAAGATAAAATTATTATGTAATGCATATTGTAGTAAAATAAATGATGAGATCGCATATTGAAACAAACGAATACTTCGTTGTTTGACTATCATTTTATTTAATATTTATAAGTAACAGATAACAAAAAACCAACAAAGTTTTGTATTTCAGAGAATAAGTAGTGGTATGGAATACTATTATTTCATTGAAAATGTATTTATGTAAATAAATAAAACATTGTAGATTAAACAAAAAAGAAAACTGTATTATTATCATATAATGAAAATGCAAGCGATCATTAGTACGATACAAGAATATATACAAATAAAAATAAAAAGATATTTATTCAAATTCGTTTTCTTACCCTTGAAATTCTTCCATTTTTGTCCGATATTTGAGATATAACAGAGTAAAAAATGAATTTCTCGTATGGGACAAAAGCACGAAGATCACCTCGGATTCTACAAAACAGAAAAAACAGAAAGTTGGTTTATTTTAACAGTCGTTACAAAACTCTTTAAACATCCGTGTGATTTTATTTTTATGAGGTCTTACGTTAATCGGTGTAAAGTACGGTATCTCAATAAGTTCGAAGGTATTCGAGGTATTCGAAGTATTGCATCGGGGTCATGACTTATGAGAACGGGATGAAATTCCAACACGAAACTCATATTGGCATTCTTAAGGCTGCTAGTGAAAGCCTTCGAAAAAATTTATTTATGAGGATCGAGAACTATATATTTCAAACGTGGAAGCAATTTATTCAATCGTTGAAGAAAATTATTCTTGGAACATGTAGGCTTTCATCCATTTCATTCAGTTTTTAATTGATAGACATTTTGCCAGTTACAGGAACATTGCGTAGTTGTAAGGAATCTCTAACCTTTAACTTTTCGCAATTACAAAACGCTCTCGTATTGGTTGAAATTAGTTTAAAGTGAAAAATACAAAGAGGAGAACAATATAATAAAAAAATAATAATCGGAAAGTTTACACACATTTAAAGTCTGTTATGACTGTAAAAAGATAAAAAGATATTTGCCAATTATATACATAAAGACATAAACGAGAACTTGATTTTATTTATTTTATCTATCATATATAACTTAATATAATAAATGTAATATAATAAAACTTTACTACTCTTCATTTATTTGCGATAAGTTATGAAATAATCGAATGCCTACTATACGTTGTATCATAAGATCGATCATGTTTTCTTCCTGTCTAAGAACAAATCGTCACGAAATTTATGAAATTACCTGTAACGGAGATGCAATTACTTTGAGACATTCGGTATAATCACGTTAGATCGCATATAAAACAGCATTATTGATGTCATTAGAAGAATTTATGAATATTGCGTTTAGTGGGTAATAAATTATAATTTGTACGCTTTTTTGGGTTCTTTTATTTGCGATATTCAAGTAAGCCGCTTAATTACATCCTTCAGCCATTTATGCATAAGATAAAGATAATTAAGATTACTTATACGATATTAGATTTCCGCAAGAAATTAGAGTCATCGATTGGATAATCACTTACGTGATATACGGCATATGTAGAGTTAATTAATGAATTCAACCTTGAAGACATACGATGACCGTGCAAAAATGACCACGCAAACAAAATAATAATTCAAATTAAAAGATAGTCCTTCATAATAAAACGTAGTATATATGTACACAATATAAAATATTCATAAGATATATAAATTTACTTATATAAATTTTATTCTCAACAGAATATAATATTCACAAAATTATTTGATTGATTTTATATAATACAAGAATTGTGCATTTTTAATATTAAAATTTATATGATTAAATAAACTATATTTAGAAAATCTAATATTCATCAAAATAATTATACAAAACAAGGGTTTAACCAATATTTTGCTGATAAAAACTTTAGTTTTATGGGTGATTAAAAATCTATATGCGCGAAGATATAGTTCAGAGTTTTTATGTAGATAATTTTTTTTCCAAGTTCTATTATAATCCATATAAATTTATCAGTTCTCTGTAAACTGTGTGTGTGTGTATGTGTGTGTGTGTGTGTGATCAGTACAATACTATTTGTGTATACAATGCTAATTGTATATTAGCATTTAGTAAATACCGTAAACAAAATAGTAAGGTTCACGATATGACTATATGTTGTGTCTTTCACCTTCTCTGTGTTTAGTGTTTCAAGGTAAATCGCTGTAGAATTCGTAATACTGAACGTCAGCAATGATAATAAATATGCAGAAAATTGAAACAATATAAAGACAAATAGTGTATTATATGATAGGCGAAAACATCACTCGTCAGCGGGTTGATCTATGTGTAAGTAATCTAAGTGTAAACAGTTTATGTGTAAATCCGTTTATTTAGAAAGAGTTTAATAAGCAAAAGAACTCTCTCGCTTGTAGTACATTATGAAAATTTCAATGTTAACAACATTCTAATTTTTTCAAAAATAAAATTATCTGAAATTAAAAGTATGAAGCCAGTTTACAAAGTTTAAAAAATAAAACATGTTGCTACGTGGAAAAGAGAACTTAATATTTTCTCCTGTTTTGAAAACTCACATTAAAAGTGAAGCGTTAAGAAGATGTAATACAGAACAGAGCAGCATACTTAAAATATTATTCAGACTGCCTTTTTAAAAACTTACTTTATAAATACTATTATAGTATATTATTATATTCTACTATATATACTACTTCTATACTATTCTACTTTTTTATATAGGAACTAGATTGAAGATAATTTATGATGATAAATAAAGTGTACACCAAAAATGCTTTGAAAGATATTAAATAATTAATCATTAATAATTAATCATTTAATTGATAAATTTGAAATACGTGATGATGTAAACGTCCAAGCATAATATCATTTTCGTTTTTAAAGTAACTTTGTAGATGAACTCCATATGCAAAATAACAACACTTTGTTATGATTGCAATTTACAAAATTTAGTGAATATGAACCATGTGATAAGTGAAATATATCATCTAGCCAATATTAATTGAGAATCGTTATACGTAAAGCGAACTTTATACGTAACAACTGATAATGAACTGATAATGAAGCATTAGCGTGATTTAATGAGTATTTGTGACGAATGAAAAAAAAACGTGATATCAACGTTAACCTCGTTTCTGAAGAGTCACTTACATCGAACGACGAGGTGGCTTGAAGATACGCGGTGGAGCGGCTGTATATCAGTTACGATCGTACGAAGCTCAACAGGCGCGAATTAAAGTGCGTGGTGAACGGAAAAAGTCGCAATGCGATCAACATCGTCGCAGACGGAACGAAGTGCTAACACTGAAAGGCGAGATCGGACCACGAGACGTTGACTATCTTGGTGACCCCACCATCGCGTCGCTTTTCGATCGTGCTTTTGGTATAATGTGAAGGCGGAGATGAGAAGGAATTTCGTACCTGTTATAAACAAAACGCGATACGATGGGATCTTTTTAGCGCTATAGTTGACAGTTACGTACTCAACCCGAATTACATAGCCAAAAATCTGCCCAATATGCTTGTTGCACATGAAAAAAATATAACATATACATTGTCATATACGTCATTAACTAAAACAGAGAATTACTCGCGAGCAACTAAAATTTGTTTTCATAGACGTCGAATAAAATTAATGATTTTTTATAAAAAGAAGACGCCTTTTTATTAATTTTTCAACTGACAGTTTTATTACGACATAATAAATTAAAGTAGATAAAAAGATAATCATCGAGTAGCTCATGATAGTGGTCATCATGCATACATCATAAGTCATTTCGTACTTTACGATAAGTTCCGTGCGTAAGATGTAATTAAAATAATAATTGATGTTTGCACAAGAGAATGACTTTCAGACCAGTTATCTTATATAAGAGTGAAATTATAGATGTAGACGTGAGAACAGAAAAGTGTTTCATCGTTTACAAATTATTGAGATAATTTTTGTAACGAATTTGTCAGTAATCACCTGAATTTACCCGTTTTCATATATCCTCTTTTATGTAATGAAAATAAGATTTTAACGTGTGTGTATCGACAAGAATGATATTTAATCGAAAAAAAATGATTCATGTTGTTATCTACATGTACATTGAATATTTCCGCGCGAGTCACAAGGAATTACATCATTATTTTTTCTACACGAGTTTATAAACTTGTCTATATGAAGTCCATTACGCATACTTGTCATGAATTATTATCCGGTCTTGAAACATTTTTAAGTATATATAGAGCGACGAGGCATAGAAACTATTTCTTAATCGATATTTAAGTTCGTATCATATCGTGTAACAATGTGAATGAAAGCGAGCTTTATAAGTTTCAAGGATCTTCTAATGTACATTATTTTCTCCAATGTTACATGAATTAATAAAATTTGTTTAATGATGATAATATTGCGTAACATTTTAAGCAACTCATGCTTCATGATCTTAAACAGATACTGTATTTCTTAACTTTTTATCAAGCATCCAAATGAAGAAACTTCGCCCTATTTATAATATTGGGCTTAATTATCTCACAGTTGACCTTATTAAATACATACTCGAGATAGGCCATGCAATTTGAGCAGTGGAATTGTACTCGAAGCGAACATAAAACGACACGCACGTCATAATAATGTATACAGTGTATTCATCGAACGTATAGTTTCATTTCTAAGAAATAACTGCGACGTTACTGTCATGAAATTCTACTTTTAGTGACATTATCGACTTATCGAATAGACATATTAACTTGTTAAATGCAATGTAGTTGTAGATACGAAATAATAAGAGAATACGTCAAAAGAAATAAGCGATAATAAGTTGCATATTTTTGTTCAGTTGAAATAGTGCGGTAAAAATGCAGTTTTTAACGTATTCGTAATTTGGACACATTTTACAATGTTTCTAGTTACATACAACAAGCACAAGATAAATTCTGACTTTTATTTTTGTTTGGTAGTTTCCTGGTTGCGTAACATAATTGAAGAAAATTCTCCACAATCGTGAGATTAGAGCCATTTACAAGGAAATTAAGAAGCCTGTTTACTTTCTGGAATTAAAATATTTTTATTTGATTTTGATAGCAAATAAAAGATAATAATAAATATATTTTTAATGAAAGTTACAGCGATGTGAGAGAATCTTACGTAAACATTTTTATTTCATAAAGATAGCAAAATGTTTCATTTTTTCTAGAAATATTAATATTTCACAAGGAGGAATCTTATATTTTAATTGTTTAATTTACTTTGTCCTTTAATAGTTATAAAATTGTTAAATAATAATTTGTATTATTATTAAATGACTGAGAAATAACATTAATTTATATTTAAAACTATGATTTTCAACTACAAATTATGTGAAAAAGTTAAAATAAATATCTTTACAAAAAATAATTTGTTTAAAGAGAATTCGACAAACATCGAGAATTCTCCGAAAACAACTGTCAAAATTTCCCGACATTGTAAGCACATAAATTGAGTATGTAGTAATAAAAATTGTTTTTTAAATAATATCTTCCGACTTACTTGTCGTGTATAGTAATATAACAAAACAATAGCCAATTTTCAAAGAATTATCCTAATCATACAAATAGTTGCAAAATTAAGATTCATAAATATATATGTATTTGATACTTTTCTATATTTAATTAGAAATTTCTAGTTCTACTAATATTGCAATATATTACATAATATATACAAACAAAGAAATGTGAAAATATACCAAAAAATCAAATTATATGACTACATAGACTATCTTTTAATTTTAAAAGGCCTTTGTGCAGAATTTATAGCTACTTAACGTCTTTTAGATTGAGTATTTTTTTAAATTCATTAATATCATTGTTTAAATTGAATAGGATAAATTCGGGTATTCTTTCCTATACTGGGAAAAATGGTCATAGGCTGTAATTTCTCTATTAATTGCAAAATATTGCGTTTGTGTAATCAGTCACAAAGATAATCGATATTTATCGTAATGTATGTTTGTATATTTTTCGAAATAGCAAAATTAAAAATATACTCTATGTTTATTTTCGACTACCTGTAAAATCTCTCATGTGTCCACCAAAACTTGCTTAACTTCAAATAAATTACAATTAAACTATCTCAATCAACGTTAGATACATAAAGAAGATATGTAAATTGTAATGTAACATGCAGTCCTTATTTTCGTTTTCATTTGTTTATAAATACTATGACCATCTTCCACTCACATTTTGGGTAAAATGGCTCACTATCATTCTATGAAAAACGAAAGTCGTTATGTTTTAAAAATTACTTTTAATATTACAGTAATTAAATCTTATGTGCAATATGTTATGATCAAAAGATTGCATTTAGAATTTAAGTTTTGTAATAGAAGTTTCTATTTTATATGTGTATTATATTTTTCACAAATAATATGTATTAAATATCCTATACTAAAATAAATATATCAAATTATGTTTTTTTCATTATTTTATAAAATAATAAATACATTTTGAATATAAAATATATATGGATTATCTATTCCTTAATGTTATAGCCATTTTATCTGAAAAATTCAGATAAGATAGCCAATGCTCATATTTTGATATTTTTGTAATAATTAATTTTAATAAAATATTTTCCCTTTAACTCTGATAATATTATGTACTGTAGGATTCAGTGAAATAATGTGCCAAACGTTATTGAGAAATAACAATAAGAAATTTTTTTGCATTTAAAAAAATATGACCATCTTATATAAATTAATTTTGCTAATGCAAGTGAGAATACACACGGGAAATTTCTGTAATGTCAATGAAAAAATAATAATAATAACCATGCAAATAACCATATCATTACTGTTTTCACGGTAATATTATATTAATCTATGCTACATATACCATGTTTTTATTATAAAATATTAAGACACTTTTGTAAGTAGGAAAATCCTCCATGGATCTATTTTATTTTAATAAAGAATAGTAGCTTTTATTATAAACAATGAATAGACTAAGTATAGTACAAGGAAAAAAATTAACGTATATTGCGTGCAGTATTTTATACTTAGAAAATTCTTGCACTAAGCATTAACCATAAAAATGTAATATTTAGATATAATATTAGATGTAATATTAGATGTAATATTTAGATGTTCATTCCCTATACATTCTCCATGTACACAATGTATTTGAAATATTTATTTAGAGCACATACACATAGAATGTGTTGTACTTAAAATATTCATCTGCTGTACATCGCAATGTAATTACATGGTACAATAGAACATTTCTCTCGTATTTCGCCGTTATAATTTTCAGTATGAAATCAGTCTTGTGATTTTTTTGATGGAAAATGTGTTGTGTAAAAAATGAAAGCAATAAAGGTAGTTAAAAAGACACAATAAACGATATGATGCTCATGGAAAAACTCTGCAATTCTTCATGACATTGCAAATGTCATCATTGATTGATTCACCTTTAATCCTGTTTTTCCTTCAAAGTTGTTGCAGGCAAATTCACGAGTTCTTACATGCAATATATGATAATGCCCAGTAAGCAAAAAATCATTAATATAACGTTGCTACAATGATATTGAAGAACCTATAATATTGTCAAATATGTTGTGTTTAATATTGTATCAAACATCATTATGAACATACTTTGACCACAATTTGGAAGTTTCAATAATGTTGAAATAGGGTTGCCATAACGTTTTAATCGGTAGAAATATTTTTAAGATACTGCATTGATCTCAAATAAATAAATGTTAAAGTAACATTTGAAAAATATATTTTTTGTAATGTTTTTAAAACGTTTAAACAACAGAAAAATCTTATCACAAAATAACATGTAAAAAATATAAATGCAATATTATTAAAAGATGTCGAAACAATGCACATGAAGTCAATGTTTCTAAACGTTAATTTAATGTTTCTTGCTTACTGGGTGGACAAATTTAAATCCTTGGATAATGACTCTCAAGCTTTGTGAAAAAAGCGATAATTTTCTTAGTTAGTATCAATCATAGTGTCGTTAAATGATATACTAAGGCCCTCACATAAACGTAGGAATAAGAATTTTAAACACTGTCAATTATACATATTGCTTTCGTCTATCTCCAATCTGCGGTTACGAGCCACAAACGATGCGTCACCAAGTATCGGCAGGTTGATATATGGGTATAATTGCATAGGACGCCCGATGAAGGACACTGGCCATTCTGAGGTTAAGCGTGCGGATTTCCACGGCTACGATGCACCACGTGGCATCCGTCGACTACAGCTCTCGAGGAGAGCAGGATGCGAAAATCGCGACCGTAGCAAATTGAAGGACAACCAACAGAGACTCACCTTGGTGCAGCCGTTTCTGCGTCCAGCGAGTGCCTCGTGAAGCGTGAATGTTCTCTTGCGCGGCATTTTCGTCCACGGCGGCGGCAGACGCACGCGACTTATCCGGCGCCGCGCGTCACCTGCGTAGGTGAACTATGTGGAGCGTTGTCTCCTGAGAATGTGAGCCGGGTCGGACTGGTGGAGAGCTGTGGAACGAAGCGAGATGAACGGCAAGAAAAACGTTGCCGTTGAAACGCCGCACAGAACCCACCAGATTCTATACAACTGTTCACACTACGTAATCGCTTGCTTGTCGGCTCCTTTGACGACGAATGCGTCTGTTTGTCGGCAAGGGATCACGTGACCCGAGCGCATACGACGTACCGCGATCGATGAAGGGAACTGCGCCGACGCGTTATATTGCGAAAATCAGTCTCGTCATCAGCGAAACTATCAAGGATCTCAGGAGTTTCATCCCAAGAATTGCATTAATGAATATATTGTTTAGAACTAGAATTGAAGCAATTAGAATTTCTAGACGTTGATATCATGATTAAATTGAGAAGGTTAGATTGAGGAGCTCACAGTAATCCGTGATTATGGACACTACTAAATTGGTAGAGAATTATGATTTTTTATATATACTCTCTCCATCGATGAATTAATCTTCTCGATGAAAAATCTTCAAACGAATGATTTCGAAGACACTTTGAATGAATCGTCAAGTTTATAGTTTGAATTTATGTAACACTGTGGAGATGTTGGATCACGTACACATTCCCAACAAAGAGACTTTCTAAGGTCTGAACTTCCCGCCTTTTCTCTTTCTACTGTAGCGTAACATATGGTCTTTTCTTCAGCGCTGTCTCTTCCAGTTCTAAGTTTTTTGTGTACCACTGAAAAGTGCCCGAGGTGAACTAAAACATTTGGTTTAATTGAATTTACCGACACTTGAATTTAAAATCGAGAACATTTAAAATTCATTATTCGCATTTATGTATAAACGATTCTTGTTAAAGATATCATTATTTTTTTATTTTTACTTGATTTTTACTTGATCATACATATAAGAATTTTTATCGTCTTTTCCTTATTTCTGAAATGTTTTTATATGTTTACGAGTTGTTGATACACTGCATCTTGCCAAATAAATTTGTAACATGTAAAAATAACATTTTGAACATCCCAGTCCTAATAAACACGTGGAAATCTTGTTTTTAAAAAATCTAAGGAATCTAACGAATCTGTGAATAATTTGAAAAAAATCCTTTCTACCGTTAAAATTAATTCTTTTATTTATAACTTAGAGTATCTCTAAATGATATAATCCACTCATAAATAATAATTAAAATTAACTAAAATTTAAATTACTTTCCATCCATCTTTTTAGTTTTATATTTAGAAAAAGGCATAATTATTTTAATTTCGGATAATGTCAACTTTAACTAATGTTTATGAAAATAGTTTTAGGAAACATATGTTGTCGTAATTATAATTATGTGTCTTCTGTATTATCTTATGTTTAAGATTATTGTATGTCTTTAGATTAAAATATAATCACTATTAATCACTCTCATTTTTCATTCTTCACGATTTGAACATGCACGTGTATCGCCTATTGTATTATAGTTTATGAGTCAAGATCGATTTCCAAGATTTAATTTGAGTTAGATATCTTTGTCTTGATTTCTACCACATGTTTTAAGGTTTCTGGCCTCTCGCATTGTCTATCTTTTTTTAATAATGTCAGAAGCGAGAAAATGCATGCAATGTATTTCGCAAGAAGTTTTAGAATGCATTTTCTGACTTCTGACATCATTAAAAAAAGATAGACAATGCGAGGGGCCAGGAGTCTTAAAATATACGATTAGGTTGTAAAATTTTTTATAGACTTAATTAAGACGAGGATTTAAAGCTTATTTGTAACAAATCATCAGGTAAATGTGTGTACGTAATTCATTAATATCGCAAATGTGCACAATACATATTATCGTCAATATCTATTTAATCTATTTAATTTATTTAAATCGACTTTTCTCTCACATACATGTTGTGAATACAACTTCGGACGAGTGACTAGAGTTTTTGGCGACATAAGAAAATTCATGTGAGTTCTGTCAGATTCAATCAATGTTATTGTCTATAATGAGTCAAGGAAATTTCCCGATTAAGCCGAAGAACAAACGCCCAAGAAATATCTTCGTGTCGCGTGACAGCAATTGCAAGTAGGTTAAATACGAATGTGTCACGGTTACAACGATAGACGAATGTGAAATTTATGACAATTCTATAGCATGTCACTCGTTAAGGAAAAATAACGTAATATTTTGCTAAAAATTGAAAAGATTGCATCCATCGTCATCATACATGTCGGATATTACAACGGGGAATTCTCAAAATCACCAAGCAAATGTATTAGAAGATAATAAGATCGTATCCAATTTGTGTAAACCATTAAAACAAATCAGTAAAACGGTTAGTTTTGCAGTATATATGAATTACCAAAATAAAATATATCAATTTACGTTAATGCGCTTCTTGTCAGGTTTCCAACGCAAATTTTTCCTCAAGAAAATTGTGGAATGATGCTTCCAGAGCGTCCAGAAATTCTATTCACCTTGCTACAAATAATGTAATAGAAGAAGGTAATTCTATTTTATGAGCTAATTTATACACTTAAATTGAAATAATTTTAGACAGTAATAGGGAGAACGACGTCTGTGGGAAGAATCAACTGCTTAAATATAGAAAAATAATTTGTTAGCGCTTCTAAAAAGCCTAAATTTCATATTCTCCATGAAATTAGATCCCTCTTTGTTTTCACATTTTGCTTCAGATTACATATCTGTTATTATGATATACTGATTTCAGAAAGCGAAGTCATAAGCGTGCTGACGAAACAATTGTGTCTGGCGGAATCGCAAATGCGAAAAATGCAATCCATCATGGCGAAAGCTGAGGAAGGATTGCGAAATAAAGATCACGAAATCATACGCTTAAAGCGGAAGGTTCTCTGTACGATTTTCTTATAAAAATGTAGTACAATTTCTAAGTTTGTACAGTCGATTTGGTAAATAATTATATGACTACGGATCGTGTACTCGGATATTCCGGATTTAGTAAATTGATTTATGAATCAATATATACAACTTTTCTTCCCTCTGTCTTATTGTGTCCATATATTCGTGATTTGAAACTACGAGACACAATTTCTTTTACATATCAGATGATGTATGACGTTATTTTGGCATAGGTAAAAGATTGGGAGAACAAGCACAAAAGTCAAGAGCTATTGCGTAAGAAAGAGCAACAAACACAAGCCAACAATTCCGAGTACTTCTATCAACGATGTCTAACGTTGGAACATAAGATCTGCGAAATGGAGGTTAATTTTATTTTTTAGACATGCTCGGTTGGCGATCTCTTATCTTAATATTTGCGAATATTACAGAAATTCTTGGCTGATTACGATTTGGTATGGGTGGGCGATACGAAAGCCCTGACGAATGCTGATAATATTAGCAAGTAATTGGAATAAGCATTACTGACTAGATGCGGAAATAATCCACCGATTTAATTGTCAGTAACTCTTTTGCAGAAATTATATCAACACCTATTACGATCAGCTGATTGCTAATATCGATCAGTTAAACCTGACTGCGAGAAAGGGCGAAGTTTATGTTCATCGTAATGAGAAAGGAGGAGGAGCGACTTTCAAAGTAACGTTTTATAGTTTCTTACATTTATATTTCAACGTTGTGCATTAAAAATGATGCAGAATTTTACAAAAACGTCCGCGAAATTGCTTACGCACGCTACGTTTTAATGCGATATATTATAAACATACAAAATAAAACATCTACTAGTTATATAAATTAAAATAATATTATATTATAAATAAATCCTATTATAAATAAATTCTATTATATATATATATATATACATATATATATATATATATATATATATATATATATATATATATATATATA